TGTGTTTATTAATGTTATTATACATGTAAAAAATATATTTACATTAAAATTCAATGTGTTTAATTTATCTGCAAGGGCAATGTCTTAGCTGTTATGATGGTGTAGCTGGTGTAGTTGGGAGGCAGTCAGAAAAACCACAGCATCTGTACAGTGTAAGTCCATCTCTCGTGTGTCCCCCCCCTGCCCCCTGCCAAACAGGGCAGCTTCATTCCCTGAGCCGGGGTTTCCATTCAAACAAAGTGACCATTTCTGGAGTTGACATTTGTGTACAAGAGTTTGCACGTTGATTTATTTTGTGTACATCCCACAAACTAAACTCTTGATTCATGGCCTGCAGGGAGCCAGGACGTGTGTTGACGTGGAACTGCAATTCCTGGAAACCAAAGCAACGTGCTGTGTTTCATAGTGTTGCCGCTATATCATCACACGATGACATATTGTACGATATAAGACCTGACAAAGGATAAAGATATTGCGCAATATCTTTATTAAATTTTTTCTCTTTGCTCATGTGATATGTTTTATTTCCCAACAAAAAAAATGCATATATTTAAATTACAAGCTCGTTGAATAAAGTTGGAAATAGATATTATTCATTCAAGTCTTACTTATTATGGCAGTGTTGGTTACATGTTATATGATGAAAACACACCAATTTGGAAATCGGAATCTCGAAGCACATCACCATGTATAAGAGGATGGGCCCAGAAGTTGATGTCACAGGACTACTTCGGAATTCTGAGGTCACTTCACTCGACCTCTGTCCCTACATTTGGGGCACACCTTTCAATTCCCTACACAAAGCATTCATCACATGTCAATTACACGGGTTTTTTATTCAGTAAGCTAGAGAGTACCAAACTAGGTATAAAAAATGTTTGTGCAGTCATTGGTGACCGGACCGAAGCCCTCAACATTGCTATAGACAAAACCCTTCACCATTTAATCAGGTGGTTTTGTTTTCATGCTGGTTATTGGTAATCTACAAAAAATATTTTAACAACTCGAGAGCAGACTAAAAGCGCAAATTAATGGCTCCCTATAAATGATGATCTATCTACTGTTGAATTGCCAAAAAACGTTGCATTTTTCGTGGTGAATGAGACCATTACTACTCCAAAAAACCATCATCTCCATCATCGGTCAAGTACTGGTCCTGTGCATTCTGCTGGCAATCATTGGTGCAGATTAGTTGGCTGCTGAACCTAATAATTTTAGGTTATAATTCCGGTAATGTAAGTAAATTCTGAAGAAAATAGGTTTCATGTCGCATGCTAGATCTTTTGCTTTAATTTTGTTATTTCGCTGACGAATGCCAAAACGAAATCAGCTTTATGGGCGAGATGTCACAAAAAATCTCCACTGTTATTCGAGCATGTTATTGTTACCTTGGGCAGCAGAGGGCAGTGCAGCAGAATCAATGGTTGGACTGCACTTCTGTGCTGTGCTCCCCGCCTTCACCAACATGTACTCTTTGGTTCTATTCGGTAAAGTCACGTAGGTAAAAAATAAAACAACAAAAATCACGACGTTTCGGCCACAACACAAGCGGCCTTCATCAAGTGAAGGTGTCAAGGCACCTTGTTTCCTCGCACACAGCTTAAAGGTCGCGGTCTGAGCGTGGCTGTGTTTCACTCCAGCGCTGTCCTCGAGACAGCCTGATCCCTTCACCTGATGAAGGCCGCTTGTGTTGTGGCCGAAACGTCGTGATTTTTGTTTTATTTTTTACCTACGTGACTTTACCGAATAGAACCAAAGAGTATGGATCCTTGCAGTCACGAAAGCTTTAAATCTAGAATTCACCAACACGCTTTGACCGGCGCAGTGAAGCTTGGTCAAGCAACCCCCGTGATCATCCAGCAGTGGATTGACAAAACCTCTGCATGAACTGCTACAATACAATGTACACTATACGATTAAGATGATGATTTTTAATAGAGCGCCCTCCCTTACATGTTATGTATATCGTTTATTGTAAAATTTTAATCACAGTTCCTATGATCACTGTTACGTTGTTTTTATAGTTTTATTTTGGTGATTTTGAAAACGTTTTGGTTTAGCATGTTTGTTTGTAGTAGTACAGAGTTAGCCTGATAACTTTAATCTAAATTGTCTTATGGTTGTTATTGTTTGACTTGCATCCCAATGACATTTTTGCACACAGCGTTGAAATACGGTGTTTTTTCTGGAAGACTTTGCTGTTTTTTCCTGGATTTTCTGTTGCGTGTAGTCACTTTAAGATGTTTCTTGTTCTTGTTTTTGTTTGTTGCGGTTGCACCCGAGTCAACAAGAGCCGCATGGCTCACAAGGGTTATCTCCAGATATATAAAAGGCAAAGTTGTGAAAATGTATGTCTGTTCAAAATGTTTAGCTTACTTCCCGACATGCAACAAACTTCAAATTTACCATGTGGGTACTTTCCAGACTGTACACCATGCAAAAATTATAAAAAATACACTTTTGTGTTTTTTTGGAGGGGAGAGAGCTCAATAATGCATATTTGTTTGCACGGCAAGTGAGCTGTGACGTCAAATCTGTCAGGTAACCCGCGCACGTGGAAGCGTAACGCATTGTAGTGGAGTGGTTAGCGTGCTGTGTATGTGTCTGTGTGTCTGTCTGTGATAGTGTAGCGGTTAGCGTGCTGCGCTATCAACCTGGCGACCCGGGTTCGATTCCCGCTCACGGCCAACACCACCAGTGACGATTATCTGAACCGGTCCCGGGCCTCCCCTAGGTCGACTCAGCATCAAATGAGTACCTGGTGTGGTGTGTAAACATCGCGACTAGGGAGACAAAGGCGGTCGGGCGTAGTGCTGGCCACCTAACAGCACTTGCCCCTACAGTCTATTAAGGCTATATGGAGGATCTTTGTGTCTGTATGTGGAAGCGTAACGTATTGTAGTGTAGTGGTTAGCGCTACGCTGCGCTATGAACCTGGCGACCCGAGTTAGATTCCCGCTCACGGCCACCACCAGTGACGATTATTTCAACCGCTTCTGGGCCTCCCCTAGGTCGACTCAGCCTAAAAGCTGTGGTGTGTGAACATCGCCACTGGGGAGACAAAGGCGGCCAAAGGGTCTTAAGAGCGCATTACGTCTCAACTCATGACATTTGAAAGGGCTCCCCCAGTGCTGCCACTGTGACCTGCAACTTGGGCATTTTAGGGTGTATTCATAATATATGTATTTAATTATAACCAATACAGGAAACCATGTAATATCGCGGGTCTATCGTTCGCGGACATCATCGTATACCAATGAAGCCATCGGTGTGAGTTGCCCGCCAACACATCTGAAACCATCGGGGGGCTTTTTGAGAGTGTAGTGTTGTAAGGACGAACAGACTTCTTAGGAGGCACACTGTTTATTGTATTATTTCCTTATACAATGCTTAACACAGAGGGATATACGGTCCCCTCACCCGATACCCTAGGGAGGTACAGCCTCCGGACTTGGCGGGACTCACACGTCTACCGCTAACCTCCTTGATACCTCAAGAGGTACAGCCTCCGGACTTGGGGAGGCTATCTGACCCACCGCTGGCCCGGTGAGTCCTGACCACTGGGTATGCCGAGTCTTAGCCCTTAGAAGAGCTGGAAGGCTGGTCCAGGGTCCTAGCTAGGCTCCAGACAAGTCTTCTGTCTTCGTGTAGGGAGAGAACTCCCCGAGGTCCGTTGGGTCACCCGTCTTATACTCCTTCGTGGCCGGGCAGAACCAATCACACATTCCCACGTGGAACCGTCTGATTGGTTCATACCAAACCCTGGCTACGATCCGTTTCACCTCGACTGACCCCAACCGTTGTACCCAGGGGTAATGCTGCACTGCTCTGGTGGCAATGCAGGTTACGCAACAGCGCGTAGTTAACGCCTCTACATCAGCAAGAACGGGAGGCGCTCTCACTCTTTTGTGTATTGCCGGATGCCGCGTGTCAAGGGGGCCTCGCTGGTTTTTGACCTTTCGCGGCTATGAAGGACCCGGGGACGGCGTGAGAATGCTGTCGAGTGGCAGCCTCTCCTCGGCCCGTGCTGAGAGGCGTCACCGCCGTTGGGGCCCCGGGAATCGAACTCTGGTGGCTCGGGGTCGTAGGCGCAGCGCGCTTCTACCGAACACGACCAATTGTCTCCCCCAAACCCCCACCCCGTACGTCCTCAAAACATGATTTTTTTAAATTTATTTAAAGCTATCGTGACTGTAGGGATTCATATTCTTGGTTTTTTTTCGTTAAAGTCACCGCCACGTAGAAGGGAAACAATAAAATAATAATAAAAATATATATTTTTTAAACGCCACTTTTTTTCAAATTTTCTTGCTGTGGTTTTCACACCTGATGATGATTGCTTGTGTTGCAGTCGAAACGTCGTGAGAATTTTATTGTTTTATATTTTTATTATTTTATTGTTTCACTTCTACGTGACTTTACCGAAAAAACAATATAGACTTTTTTTTAATTAAATATTGATTTGAAGCTTTCGTGACTGCAGGAATCCAAACTCTTTGATTCTCTCGGTAAAGTCACGTAGGTATAAAATAAAATAAATAATAGAATACGACGTTTCGATTGCAACACAAGCGTCCGTCATCAGGTGGGACGCTTGTGTTGCGCCCGAAACGTCGTGACTTATTTTATATCTACTTGACTTTACCGAAAGACCCACAGAGTATGGATTCCTGCAGTCACCAAAGCTTTAATTCAAGGCTTTTGTTGTTGTTGAGGGAGGGGGATGCGTGTTCGCGAGCACCTACGAAGGCCGGCGCGGTGGCACACGTGGGGGCCGGTGGCCAGCACCCCACTCCCGGCCGCCTTTGTCTCCCCAGTGGCGACACCTCGGGGGTGGCCGGGAGGAGGAGGAGGGGGGGGTGGTGGTGAGGCCCACTGGGGAGGGTGCAAGATGATCCGTCGCCGCTGTTGGGCGCTGAGCGGGATCCCCCCTCGTCCTCCTCGTCGTCGTCGTCTCTGGACGAGTTCATTCCCGTTGCATCCGCCGAGTTGCCTTTGGCCCTTCCCTTACCAAGATGGCCACCGGAGCGCTTCCTCCCCGACCGCCCCCCCTTCGCTTCGCCGTGGACGTCACCGCGAGCGTCACCGCGAGCGCCACCGCCGCTTCCTGTTCCCCGTCGCGACAAGACGCAATGGATGTCAATGGGTACCACCGCCACAACCACCCCCACAAATCGCCGCCGCCGCAGCAGCAGCAGCATCATAAACAGCACCACCAGCAGCCGCCCGAACAAACATCTACCTCCGCCAAAGACTACGAAGCCCTCGCGGCGAAGGTGTTCCGCGCGGCGAGCGAGGGGAAGGCCCTCACGCTCGCCGCCCTCCTGCTGGACAGGAGCGCCGACGAGGAGCGCTCCGCGCTGGGGCACAGCACCCGCCTGGGCGGCCAGAAGGCGACGCCGCTCATCGCCGCCGCGCGCCACGGTCACGTCGGGGTGGTGCGCCTGCTGGTGGAGCACTACCGCGTGGACACCGAGCAGACGGGCACCGTGAAGTTCGACGGATACGTGATCGAGGGCGCCACGGCGCTGTGGTGCGCGGCGGGCGCGGGGCACTACCCAGTGGTGAACTTCCTGGTGGCCGAGGTGCGCTTACGGGGTGACGATGATGAAGAGGTGGTGGTTGGTGGTTGTGAAGGTTTGAGATGAGGTTAACAAGGTGGGGTGACGGGAATGGACGAGTGAGACGTGGTGGGAGTGGTTGGTGGTTGTGAAGATTTGAGATGAGGTTGACAAGGTGGGGTGACGGGAATGGACGAGTGGGGGTGGTTGGGGTGGGTGGTGGTTGGGGGTTGGTGGTTGTGAAGGTTTGATATGAGGTTGACACGGTGGGGTGACAGGAAGGGACGAGTGAGACGTGGTGGGAGTGGTTGGTGGTTGTGAAGGTTTGAGATGAGGTTGACACGGTGGGGTGACGGGAATGGACGAGTGGGGGTGGTTGGGGTGGGTGGTGGTTGGGGGTTGGTGGTTGTGAAGGTTTGAGATGAGGTTGACAAGGTGGGGTGACGGGAATGGACGAGTGGGGGTGGTTGGGGTGGGTGGTGGTTGGGGGTTGGTGGTTGTGAAGGTTTGATATGAGGTTGACACGGTGGGGTGACAGGAAGGGACGAGTGAGACGTGGTGGGAGTGGTTGGTGGTTGTGAAGGTTTGAGATGAGGTTGACACGGTGGGGTGACGGGAATGGACGAGTGAGACGTGGTGGGAGTGGTTGGTGGTTGTGAAGGTTTGAGATGAGGTTGACAAGGTGGGGTGACGGGAATGGACGAGTGAGACGTGGTGGGAGTGGTTGGTGGTTGTGAAGGTTTGAGATGAGGTTGACACGGTGGGGTGATGGGACTGGACAAGTGAGACTTGGTGGGAGTGGTTGGTGGTTGTGAAGGTTTGAGATGAGGTTGACAAGGTGGGGTGACAGAAATGGACGAGTGAGACGTGGTGGGGGTGGTTGGTGGTGATTGGGGGTGGGTGGTTCGCAGGTGATGCGAAGAGGTGTGGAGGTGACGGATGGCGGTGAGAGTGACAAGTTGGGTTTGTGCATGTGTTAAACTTCTTTTGCACCGTACGCAGCCAACCGTGGTAATCAGAGGTGTATTTTTATTTGTTACACGGATGATAGCGTTTAGCTGGTTGCCCGGCTATTTTACAAGGGAGATCCTTGGTTCGTGAGCACAGCGTCAACAAAAGGTAAAAAAAAAACTCCACGAATATTAGAATAGGCTTTCCCCTTTTTTCTGGCAACAAAATAGGTGATAAGATGTTAAAACACCAAACTGAAACCTTGTACAAGGAATCATACTCTGAGTATGTTTTTTGTTTGCATTTCGACCACAAGTATTGTGGTTTTAACATCTTGAACACCTGTTTTGTTGCAAGAAATAAGGGGAAAACCTATTCTCATATTTTGGTACTGGCAAAGGAGGTCTCATGATCCACGAATATTGTATTGCAGAGTTACAAGTACATCATAGAGTACTTAAGGGATATTTCACAACTAACAAACGAGGTATTTGACCGTCGTGAACAAAACACTAGACAAAAAAAGTGCAAATATATGACAGCAAGAGCTGCCAGAAAAAAAGTTAGGTACAGGTGCAAGTAAGTGCAATGTTTTAGTCTTAACAGTGACATAAATACACGCAAATAGAAAAAAGACAAGGTGGGTGAGGGGGTGAGCGAAGGTCGCAGTGAGAATGACATTTGAGTCGGGTGCATTGAAGAAGTTGAGGGTGATCGAGCTAGTAGTTGAAGGTGAGGGTGATTGATTATGGCATATGAATGTTGAGATTGGCTGAATTTTGTGAAGGAGGCGTTGGTTGTGACTGGAACGTGAGGAAGCGAGGTGGGCGAGGGTGAGGCAGTGAATGATGCAGGTGCTGATTGATGTGGGTCCGAGTTGAGGGTATCAGGTCAGGGAGGGCGGCATGTGTGAAGGAAAGGCATGGAAGGTGAAAGTGGAAGGGAGGTGGTTGAGAGTGACATTAGAACGAATTGTGGGTGGGAGAAATGGTGTGAGTGATACCGTGAGGGTTATTAATGTGAGGCAGGAAGGGTTCGTGGGTGACAGGAATAGGTGGGCCATACAGTAAACCGCTGTAGTCTCCACTCCTTCAATGGGGGAATAGCAAAACTACACGAACTCTCATGAAGCCCTCTCGTGGCTATCAGACCTTGACATTTAGCTTCTGAACAATATTGCCATAAGCAAGAATAGATGACAGCTGAGGAAGTATTATTGATTATAGGTGTGGGTGATAGATGAAGTTTGAGGGTGAATGAGAGTTTTGACAGGTGAGGGAGGGTAACAGGTATGTGGAGTGCAAGGGTGGACGATTGAGGTGGTACTACAGTGAAGATTGAGGGCATGGCTGAGTGGTGTGGGTTTACGGTTGACAGGTGCTGTTGAGGGTAACGTGTTGGTTACAGGTTTGTCTTTGACAGGTGCATGAGTGTAAGGGTGAGGGTGGGTAGGTGAGCATTATGTAGTGGGTGATGATGTAAATGAGTGCCGATGTGAATAGGCAATAAATCCCATAAGCGCCATCATCATCGGTCGACAAATAATCCAACATCCGCGCAACCTAAATGAAATCACTATCTTGCACTTATTCTTTGGGTCCTTCGGTAAAGCCACGTAGATAGAAAAAATTATAAAAATATATTTTTAAAAATAATACAAATTATGCATTTTCTATCTACGTGGCTTCACCGAAAGACCTAAATAATATGAATTCCTGCAGTTACGAAAGCTTTATCAAGATTTATCTTGCACTTCTTCGTCACAGGCTCATGCCAACGTGAACCACATAACTGTGACGAGCTCCACCCCTCTGCGCGCTGCCTGCTTCGACGGCCGCCTGGACATCGTGCGGCTGCTGGTGGAGCACCGGGCCGACGTGTCCATCGCCAACAAGTACGGCAACACGTGCCTGATGATCGCCGCCTACCGTGGCCACGCCTCGGTCGTTCGCTTTCTGCTGGGCCAAGGCGCCGACCCCAATGTGCGGGCGCACTGTGGCGCCACGGCACTGCACTTCGCCGCCGAGGTGGGCCATGCCGATGTGGTGTCAGCGCTGCTGGCAGCGCGGGCCGCGATCCTGCCCAATGATCATGGCATGACTCCACTCAAGGTGGCCGCCGAGACCTGCAAGGTATGGACGGGACCCATCCCTGTGTACGGCATTGCCTCGTATCGTGTGGTAGTGCCAGAGTTCTGTGTTTTGAGGTGTTGGCCTTGATGAAAATAAATTTCCATTCTCACAATGCATCAATTTGATTCATACAATTTATGATTACAGTCTGGATTTATTTAGCATTTAAATGTGAGGACGATGCACATGAACAGTTGGAAAACATCCTTTAAAAAAATTACACGTAAATATGGTACATTTAGGGAAATGTATTAAACAAGACTTCAAACGAGATAAAAAAAATGAGAAAAATGACAAATGAGATAGTAAAACGTACAAATAATTGATTCTGAAATTATATTGTCATTGATTCTATCACAATTTGCAAGTTGAATGCCTGCATGCATATGTTATTAATATATCATGTTATATTCACTCACAAAATAGAATTGCCTTTGTAAAGAAGGTAATTCATTATATAGTTGGTGTTTTGCCCGTTTCATAGGTGAGAATGGTCATAAGTCATTTTTGTGTGTTCCATTTATCTATATTAATTATCCTTAATGTGACTAGCTTAGATTGGACATGACCGCAGTATTGGGTGGTCTGAACTTTGGGTACTGGCAGTGGAGCAGAATATTGATTTTAATATAATGCACAATTCATGAGCTATTAATCAGAGGTTATTTATAACATTACACTCCAGTGGAACATATATTTCTTCTGTCTCACTGCCCTGTCTCTTCATAATCTTACATTTTTTAGGTTACTGCATAAACATGTCCAGAGCTATGGTCTGTCATACCATCAATTCACTTTGACAGATGGGGTCCGTTGCATGTAATCTGCGATGACCCCTGCATATGCCCTCGTCCCAAGTCTTGCTGACAGTAGCAGGTGCAGATTCATTGGTCGGGGTGGCATTGCAATCAGTCACCATATGAGTAAGCAGTATTAGCTTCTCTGGGCTCTGGCAGAAGAAGTCCTAGTTATTGGTCGTTCAACCACAAAAATGCATGGCTCTGACTAAAGCATTGCAGTCTTCAAAGCGACCCTTGTCCCCAGGGAGCAGATTATCCTCAGGGGCTCCTGATTACAAGAGTGATGGAGATGATAATCGGTTTTGATGGTTAGTTTTGTGTTTGCGATCACCACCATAGTAATTTTGAAAGTTGCATTGTCCATTCCAGGCAGATGTGGTTCAACTCTTCCTAGACTCGGGTGCCTGCGACAGGGAGTCGCGCATAGAGGCCATGGAGCTGCTGGGCGCTTCGTTCGCCAACGACCGTGATCACTACGACCTGGAAAAGACGTTCTACTACCTCTACCTGGCCATGGTGGAGCGAACCAGCGAGAGGGGGGTGGCGCTGCTCATTCCCAAGGAATCGGTGGCTGCGCCCGTGGCGGCGTATGGTGGGCGCAGCGAGAGCCGCACGCTGTTGGACCTGGAGAATATGCGGCACGATCTCGACGCACTGCACATGGAGGGTCTCATCATACGCGAGCGGATCCTCGGGCAGGACAACGTGGACGTGTCACAGCCCATCATCTACCGCGGGGCCGTGTACGCCGACGGGATGCAGTTCGACCGCTGCATCCAGCTGTGGCTGCGTGCACTGGAGTTACGCCAGCGCAACAATCGCTGCACGCAGAAAGACCTTCTGAGATTTGCGCAGGCAAGCAATATTCACTCCTGTTTTTCCACATTCCTGAACAACTTTTGACCCTTGTTGACTACGCAAGGGAATTTAAACTAATGCCAACCTATGTTAAAAGTACGGCTAGGTGTATATATTTTTGAAGGCCAAAAATATATACACCTGTGTTTAAAATACTCTTTGGTTCTTTCGGTAAAGTCACGTAGGTATAAAATAAAATAACTACGTGACTTTACTGAAAGAACCAAAGAGTATGGATTCCTGCAGTCACGAAAGCTTCAAATTAAGATTGTGTTTAAAATGTTTTAATAAACTAAATCTAAGAACATAAACGATGAACTTATGACCAAATCACCAAGAAAGAATCCGATCCCAGGTCTTAGAGGCTAAGCAAGCCGATTTGACCTTTTTGTGTGCATGGGTGACCACCATGCACAACCGGCTATATTCTGCAGTGCTATGTGGTGGACAGCAGAGGGCAGTGTAGCAAAATACATTGTTGTACAGTACTATTCTCCCATATCTATGCTCCCCACTTTCACTAACCTGGACTGACCAGCGTGAAGTATTGCATTGTACAATAATACCTGCAACCTTCAGTGGATTAACAAAAGGGAATGTGCATTATAAATTATGTTGCACGATTACTGGGGAGGCGTAATGCTGATCACTTGAGTTCAGGCATTATTGACCTGATAAATTACACTGATCATAGTGCCACGGTGGCGAGAGGGAATGCCGCCACGGTGGCAAAGATTAACTGCCTTGCCTGGTATACAGGAGGTTGTGGGTTGGATCCCAACCCTGACGCCTGTATACCTGAAGTTTTCATGTTCTCTCCGTGATTGTGTAGATTTTTCTTCGGGTCTTCCGGTATTTGGCTGCTCTAATTTCCACATAAGCCACTTTATTCAGGTATCATTTATGGCCAGGTTGCTTATGAAATAGAGCTATATAGCTCAGTGGGCTTTACCTGGTAAAATAAAATAGTAAATAGTAATAGATATACTGTAAACAGTGTTGACCCTAGTCCACCATTAATGTTGATCTTTTTTCCGCAGTGTAAATCTGGTTTGACTTGTCAGGCAGTCACCGGTTGTTGTTTTTTTCTTGCTTAAAAAGTACCTATTTATCTTGAATATATTTTGGCATTTGAAATTCTTTTAAAGAGATATTTCCTTTTGGCTATTAGTACATGCCAAGTTTCAATTCTACCCCACATCACGAGTGTTACAGATTTTATTTACTGAATTATGACATTTTATACCCAAAGGAGGCGACTTCATAGCTCACACCGTCCATAGCATTTGTGATTTATAGGTAGAAAGCTGCATGGCATTGTAGAATATAATAATAGGTTTTTTCCCATTTTTCTGGCAACAAAACAGGTGTTTAGATGTTAAAACGCCAAACTGAAACCTTTTACAAGGAATCATGTCTGCATTAACCACAATGCTTGTGGTCAGAATGCAAACAAAAAACATACTCTGCTCAAAGACTTTCGTCTTTGAGCATCACTGTACAGTATATGGCAAACGCCTCGATTAATGGTTAAAAAACAATGGGGAGCGGTGGCCCTGGGTTTAGCACATCGATGGTGAGTGATATTTGAACCTTTCCTGAGGGACCCCCTTCACCAGTCAGCATGGAGCAAAGTGGTAAAGTATGGTAAAAAAAACCACATGTATGACATTTGCACACATTGTAATTAACGCCTGTATACATGATTTGATGCACGTAATGTGTGAGTAAGAATTCATTTTACCCGACAATTCGATGCATCATTCCACGCATCATTCCATGGCTGAGGGGGGGGGGGGGGGAGGCTGGGGGGGTTGGCATTCCAGGCTGACCTGGACTCGAATGATTGAGGCCGATCTCGGACATCATAATCTCAGCCTGGACTCGGTGTGACTTCGGGAGCAGGACAGGGTTGCCTGGCAATGCATCGTGAGGACCGCTACGCCCTGGCCCAGGAGACCTGCGTTTCATTTATTAATTGGGAGTGATCACGAATACGTACAGTCACTAACGCCAGCCCAATCCGCCTACAGGTCTTCTCGCAGATGATCCATCTGAACGAACCAGTGCCTCCCGAGGCATTGGAGCGGGTGCTGGAGAGCTGCATCGCAGAGGTGAAGCGTAGCGTGTCGGGCGTGCAGGCTGCGTGCCAACACGACATGCACGCTTCGTGGGACATGCACGAGGCCAACCTGCACACGGCGCTGTACCTGGTGTGCGTGGTGACACGCACGCGCACCAGCGAGGAGCAGACGCTCAGACTCAATCGCCAGATCTACCGGCTGCTGCGCATGGACGCACGTACCCGGGATGGCTCCACGCTGCTGCACCTGGCGGTGCACAGCGAGACGCCGGTCGACGACTTCCATACGGACGCCGTATGCTCCTTCCCAAGTGCGCCCGCCACACACCGCCTGTTGGAGTGTGGCGCATCGCCCAACGAGGGCGACGTGCGAGGCGACACGCCCCTGCACGTCATCGTGCGCTACACGCGCCCCATCAGCGACTTCCTCACGCTGCATAGCATAATCCTGCTGCTCGCAAAGGCTGGCGCCCACACAGACGCAGCCAACGTGTGTGGGCGCACGCCACTACAGTGCGTTAGGACGGGGGTCGCGGAGGTCATCCTGCGCACGCAGAATCAGCTCAGCCTCCAGTGCCTGGCGGCGAGGGTTGTGCGCCAGAACTGCATTACGTACGTTGGGCTCATTCCGAAAGCACTGGAGGAGTTTGTGAACCTGCACTGATACCCATTTTCCACTGGCATATCCGTGCCGAGCCAGCACAAGGCTCTCACAGTCCAGGTGGTTTTCATCTGGCTATTTGGCATGCTGAGTGGGGAACCAAACCACGCTATGCTGGCATCATAAGACATCAGAATCTGGTTTTGGGCCAAGCAGGACCAGGGTCAGGCCCAATAATGCATTGATTGCATGTGACAGTACATCTCACAATGTCACCTCATTTACATGCAACACAGGAAGCACCGACATTGCGTGAAATATCGGTGCCTTCTGAGCTGCGCCGGTTTGGATCGGAATGGTTTTACAGTGGAAAAAGAGGTATTCGTGGCCCACAGTTCGACAGGTCAGCCTGGGTCAGGGTGCTGCAGAGAGCTGTGCCTTATTCGTTGTGTGTGACTGGGAGCAGAGATCACATTGCACCTAAATGATATCCCTTCCAACGAAAGCTGCAAATACATTTTACGTAGTGCATCCTTGCAGCTAAGGATGCACTACATGGTTATTGGTTGCCCCTGTGCAATGAATTGAATGTGATGTGTTATTGTGGCACACACTAACCGAGCATGACCTATATATATAAACCATACTCTGGTATATGTATAATGTATACATATATCAAACCAATATACTTAATTGTAAATACATTTTCAGTGCTGTAATTGTTTTAGATTATTCCGGTAAAACTTTTATTCCTTCGGAGTATTTTTATACACTTATGATCATCTGGGCAGGGATTGGTAATTTATAACTACTACATGATGGGAATGGGAATTTCAGAAATCCCAATATGTGGTGCATCATCACCAGATGGCAGCATTCAAGCGGCCCACTCTGTTAAGTAAGAAATTATGATGAATGCCATTAATGTGGCAACCGATTATCGATCATCGATCTCCCGGTCTCCAGAGCAACAACATAAGCCATGCCAACAGCCCTTTTCAGGGCTCTACAACGTGCCAGATAGGCCCTGGGACAAGGATCCTCCAACTGAACATTGAGGGACTCTCTCTGGCGAAGTGCGAGTATCTTACGAACATAATGAACACATAACATGCCAGTCGCGACCACATCCATGGATACAACCTCATGACGAGCCACAACCAACCTAAATATGGCTTGACCATCACAGCGTTACACACCTTCCCATCAACTGAAAAAGGAGCCACCTACACCACCAGCATCAAGATAGGGGAGCTGCACATCACCAACGTATATAGAGCCATACTCTTTGGTTCTTTCGTAAAGTCACGTAGGTATAAAATAAAATGAATTAAATCACGACGTTTCGATTGCAACACAAGCAATCATCATCAGGTGGGAAAATCACAGCAATATTTTTTTTTGCTTAAGTGGGAGAGTTGTGGTAAGAGGTTATATAGGTAAGAAAGGGGGAGAGGGAGGGGTGGGGGAGTGGGGTAGGGGGGAGGAGCGAGCGCTGCGTGGTGTAGTAGTACCCGGCAGATATGATAGACGACAACCACTACAAAGCAGTTAGGATTTTAACTGGTTAATAACATCCTTCCAATGATTGCTAAATTTGTATCCATCTTCTCGGTTGAAGTTATGTTTATATATCTGGATGGCTTCATGAACAAACCTTTATTAGTAGCCCGAAGGTTTTCAGAGTACCTTGGTCTCGGAAAAAAACAATATCATGTGAGCCCACAGCATTATAACAATGGTCAGCCACGGCAGAGGTATTGGTTCTGCCGTGTTTCAGATCTGCCTTGTGTTCGCGAACACGGTCCGAGGCATGTCGTTTCGTTTCCCCAATGTAACAGCCACCACAGGTGCAACTTAGTTTGTAGACTCCAGGATATTGCATGTCAGGAATGACATTCTTCACAGATGGGATTAGACCACGGATTTTGTGTACTGTATTGAATCGGACCTGGTGTTTAAGATTTTGGAAATCTTTTTGGTAACACCTGCTATGTATGGTAACGTGATGGTTTTGATCGGCATCTCAGGGGGTTGTTTCTCCATGGTTGGAGAAACAGCTTTGCGAATAATGCGGTCCGAGTACCCATTCATCTTGAGGGCCTGGTGTTCCAGTTCACTGGCTAGGTGGCGTTGGTCAGAAATGCATTGCGCCCTATGGTGTAATGTTTTGATGAGGGAATTCTTCTGTGCCGGGTGGTGGTGGGAATCAGGTTTCAGATAGGAATCTGTGGGTGGATTTCCTGTAGACAGAATGTCCCAATGAGTCGTCAGGTCTCTTAAACAAAACATCCAGGAATGGTAGCTTTTACCATCCTCCACTTCCATGGTGAATTTGATGGATGGGTGTATGGAATTAATGTGGTTGAGAAATTGGTTCAATGCTGGCAGGCCATGTGGCCAAATGACGAAAGTGTCATCTACATATCTCTTCCACAAGGAAGGACGTAGGGTGGATGTCTGGATGGCATCTGTTTCAAATTTCTCCATGAAAACATTCGATATCACTGGTGATAAGGGGGAACCCATGGGGGTACCTTCATTTTGTGTGTAGAAAGTACCATTCCAGGTGAAGTAAGTGTTGGTAAAACTTCGAATCTAGATTTATATAGAGCCCTTAATTAAAAGTGGCCAAAGTCAGCACTCCAAAGTGCACCATTCGCAGCCTTATACATTGGTGACTTTAACAGCCACCATGCTGTGTGGGGTTATGCAGTAGATCAGGCTGACAGCAAAGACCTGACTGTCTGGATGTCCACCGAAGATCTGCACCTGGTTTTCAATTTGAAGCAGCAATCAACGTTACACTCATCGCTGGCAACGTGACTACGACCACCATCGTTTCCAAAGATCAAAGTGGGAGTCCACTTCTCGCATCCTATAAAATACTTCCAGGCTTCACCAAAAGTCAACATTAGACCCATCGTCACCCACATTAGCATCGAAATCCCTGTGGTTATATCAAAACGATTGCCAAGGTGGAACTTGGCCAGAGCTGACTGGGACCACTATAAGGAGGCTGCAGAGAGAGTGGCGAGTCAAATTCCTGCGACACTGAAATGCTATCACCGTTTTGTTGGTGTCCGTATTGCAGCCACCAACAAAAGCATCCCCCCGAGGCTTCCGGATATAATGCAAAAGAGACCCAGGAACTGCTCCGACAGTACAACCAATCAGGCAGCCCACAGGTTGGAAAGGCCCTGATAGTCTCTAGACTCAGCCAGATGCCAGCTATGGATTGAGTGCGTTGAAGGCCTGGACTTCACACACTCCAACCGCTGTGCCTGGGCCCTACTACAACGCCTAGGTGTTGCTAATCCAACAATACCTGACTGCAAGAGTCCTGGAGAACACAAAAGGACCATGCGACAAAAACTTAAAGCGAGAGATCCATCGCCAATTGCACCAGACAGTGGCCTTAATTTCTTCACAAGACCCCCACCGTCATGAGCACAGAAGAAGTGAGGAAGGGTCTGGCTGTAATGAAGAAAGGCAAGGCTACCGGCAGAGATGGTATCCCCCAGAATTCCTCCATCACTTAGGCCCTAGGGGACTCCAGTGGCTGGAAAAAATGTATACAAAAACCATGAAAACCAGATGCATCCCAAAAGAATGGTAGGAGGCAATGGTAATTGCCATACCAAAACCGGGCAAGCCAACTGACGACCCGGGAAGCTATAGGCCGATGTCACTCGTCAAGTCAAGAATAAGCGGGATTCCAGCCTGGACGCAGCTGCTGTGACCAAGTTTTGGCCTTTGCGACACACATCGACGTCAGATTCCAGAAGAAATACAAGACCAGCTCAGCCTTTGTGGACTAGTCATCGGCCTATGAAACAGTCTGGATTAAGGGCTCGAAATTGAAGCTCGCAAGGACCATTCCCTGCCTCAAAACAATACACCTGATATAGACGATGCTGAGCGTGTCTATATGGGCGACAAAGCCAGCTCACCCCGGTTCCTCAAAAATGGATTGCCACAAAGTTCAGTACTCACACATATTTCTCCCACACCCATCCGGCTCAACACTGCAACCCTCCGGGAAGTCCTGCAAATCGAGGAAAACAGTCGCCTTCCCATTCACCAGGACCTCGGTAACGTCCCACATCATCGCTTGAAGTCATGCAAGCCCTTTTGGACCCATGCGCTTAGCCTTCAAAAATCTGAGTTCAATCCCGATGAAGTTTGGAGACCTGAATGGATATTCTTAGTTCTTACCGAAAGAACCAAGAATATGAATTACTGCAGTCACGAAAGCTTTAAATCAAGACCTGAATGGAGTTCAAAATAACTCGCAAACACATTGTGAAAGACCTAACGCAGAAGATCCTTGGGTTTGATCTTCCACGTAGCTCATGGTCCACCCGAAACCGCATCCGCACAAACCATGGCAGATGTGGATACCTGATGCACAAATGTAAAATTTAAAACTGTCCAGGGTGCGACTGTGGTCATCTAGAACAGACCAAACAGCAAATGATGCAATGCCCGATCCACAAATACAAAGGAGACATCACAGCTATACACTCTGCTACTCTTCACGCGGTTATCTGGCTTGACACCTGAATGTGAAATTGTAGTTGTAGCTCTGCATCTACATCAGACATAGGAAATAAGAAGCAGCCCACCTAGCTGTGGAACTCAAAACATGCAATAACATTTGTTTCAAGTGTTTTCAAATCAGCACGTATACATAGTTTATAATGCCGTATATACAATTACGTTGCACTATATAAACAATAGGAAAACATCTTGATTTTAAGCTTTCATGACTGCAGGAATCCATACTCTCTGGTTCTTTCGGTAAAGTCACGTAGGTAGAAAAATAATAGATCGGACGTTTCGATTGCAGCACAAGCCATCGTCATAATGTGGAACAACCACAGCAAGAAAAAACTGAAGTTTTTTTTCTTCAGTTTTTTCTTGCTGTTCCACCTCATGACGATTGCTTGTGTTGCAATCGAAACGTCTGATCTATTTTTCGACCTACGTGACTTTACCGAAAGAACCAAAGAGTGAATACGAAAACAACCCTTTTGTTAGTTTTGATTGCATAGATTTTAGGAAATCATTTAAAAATTAGTAACCTTTGTTAGTAAAGAGGGTTTTTGTTTAAATGTTACTTAGGCTTTTTATTGTCAGGCTGGAGCAGCAGCATGTTGCTGGCTAACACACTGCTATGAACCCATGAAATAGGAAATACGAGGAAATAAACATTAGCCTTAAACTTATTATGACCAGCATCATGGCAGTTCTTCAAATTGCAGGGGAGTCTGAGATAATCGTTCCATACCTGCTTTATTGAAACAATGTATCTAACAATCCGCAACCTATTTGCTACCAGGTGTTCTAAAAAAAGGGAGAGGATCATGATTATTGTTTACTCTCTCATTTCTCTCATCTCTTCACTATTATACACGATGGTTTCTCCATCATTAAGCAAATGGTTGTACGTTTAAGTTAGTGACTAAACTCGTTTTTTCATCTTAATTTTTATTTAGATTTTCATTTGACTTCTTATGACATACTTCTCGCACCTCCGATTAGGACGGTTGGCTACGTACGCTGCGAAAAAAGTTAAACAGTCTGTTCTATAACGTGTTTTCATAATGCGAATTGGACATAATGCGATTAATGTATTATGGAACATTTTTATAACGCGGATGCGAATTGGATATAACGCGATTGAGTGAACAGAACTACGTCGCACGAATAGGAATACGCAGTTGTACGGCTGCCTCGACGTAGCATCACACAAGGCGGGATGCTGCTGGATGCTTCTAGATGCTACCCACGCGCTTCAGTCAACCTGCATACGCATCTCACGTGTTATCGCAGACTGTGCTTTACACGATATTATTTATTATAACTCGAAATTTCCATAAGTGTTCTTCAGGAATGCTACTACCGCGTTATAGGAGAATAGACTGTACGTGCTTCCGACTTGCAGGCTAAAAACAGTATTTGTTACTATGGAATGAAATTTAGCAGTGGCATTCTCGCAGCCAGGCCTTGAGTGCTAGCACATTCAGATGTTCACAGTAACATGTATGTCATGTCTGTGGTCTAAGAACTGGGGAGCGATAGTGTAGCAGCGCTATGCTGCGCTATGAACCCGGCGACACTTCGTTTTCCGCTCATGGCCAATACCAGTGACAATTATCTGAACTGGTCTTGGGCCTCCCCTAGATCGACTTCGCCTTAAATGAGTACCTGGTGCGATGTGTAAACATCACTACTGGGGAGACAAAGGCGGCCGGGCGTGGTGCTGCCACCCACCCCCTCATGTGCCGTTCCGGCTTTCATAGGTGCTCGCTAACAGCAATTAGCCCCAACAGTCTGTTCAGGCTTAACAGGAGATCTTTGTGTGAAAAATTGCATTTTCCAAACTATAGCTTTTATGTAGTCTCAATGAGCAGCAAACTGTTGATAGGCTTGGATCGTACAATAATAACCTATCTTGCTGGCACGGACATAATTGCGGCAATTCTAAAACAGCTTCACAAAAATGTGGTATATGTCTCCAGTTATCTGCAGTCGGAGCCCTAATTGATTATTTCTAATTATTGGGCTTGGGTCAGTGGGGGAATATATTGGAGTTGCTAAGGGATTTAATTTCCCGATAACTTTCTCCAGAGCTTGCCTGTCAATGTAAATGTAGTCTGTTAAAAATTAAAACCAACGACTTTGTGCAGCATTAAAGCAAAGCGCCTGGCATCGAGCGTGCCATGACGGGACATTGTCAAAATGTACTTTGGTGGTTGTTAACCTCAAGGTCCTGCTTATGTATGGGGGTTTTTGCCATTGTGTATGCGCAAATATCATTCACATGAGCAACAATGCCTGCTCCCTCGGCAGTCGTTTTATGTGGCATGTCATCCAGAGGTTAAGCCCTGTTGGAGTAAAGAACGTCCCGAACCCACTTAATGCGCCCCACAATAAGTGTGTGTGTGCCGTCTAAGATGCTGATGAAATGCAAGAGTGTTACTGCTGCAGCACGTTCTGTCACAGGGATAAGTATTGTTCCGTGTTACAGCATCTACGTGTTCCATGCTGCCTCTTGTATTTGTTCTCCCCTGACATCACAATTATGCTATTGGCATATTTTTTAACGAGATGAAGAATACAATGTAACCTTTGCAGAGCAGTGCAAATCCCCACATTATGGGTGCACAGAAGAAGTTAATCTATTTCTGAGATCCCTTCAAGTGACGTCATCCACAGCAGGGGATAACACTTTCCCACCTGTTTGTCACATGATAACCGAACCAAATATTTTTGAATTTTGAAAGCTGAAATTTAGATTGTTGAGTAATTATTAAATTATCGTTCGAGGGTAAACAATTGCACCTAAAAAAATAAAAATTCTCATTGCTAAAATGTATAGTGTGGCAGACTAAAAATGATATGTACGTTGAACTTCGTTCACACCGTACGTAGCCAACTGCTAATCGGATATATAAGTACAGATATATTAAAAATAGTATATTTTGTATAAATAATGCGAATTAAGGATGACTGCATTAGTGATGCTACAGATGATATGCATTACATAAATATCAGCTTACGTGTAATGCCTAAGTTTTATTTAGATTGCAAATCATTCAGATCTGCTCAATAATACATATACCGTGCTGAAGCAGTGTTTTTGGATGTGATGATGTTTATAGGAATAAAAAAACACGGGTGTCTTGGTCAATTACTCTTTTAATAATGCCTCTGTTGGGGAAAAATATACAGGTAAAGGAGACAATCACAAGTCCTTTAACCAAAATATAGGTCATATATTTTAACATCTTGAAAATCGAACCACCCAATTTGTTGTCATGCCTGTTGAACAAAATAAGAAGGTTCAGAATATTCTCTGAATATTCCAAAGTCAGGTGTGTCAAAAAACTACCATGGCAAAATATAATAATGAATTTAACACGTACGCTTTCGCGATCAATATAATCCATGAGGTTTTTTAGGGTTTGATCGCTTAAATATAAATGTATCGTTAAACCTGTCACCACTCGACACACCAATTAGTAAGGTTTGTCACGTAAACAAAACATGCTAATCACTAGTTCAGCACACTGGCTGTCACCTGATGAGGCTGGTTGCAATGACCGGTGAAACGTCACTCGAATTGTGAATGTTGGTTTACTCCAATACACCAGTGTGCTGAACTAGCAACTAATTGGCATATTTGTTTATGTGACAAACCTTAATTGGCTGTGTCGGGTGGTGATGGGTTTAACAACACGTTTATAGTTATGCAATCTAACCCAAAAAACCTCATGCATAATGATTAAAGTCCCAGATAAACGGTGCAAAAAAAAACAAACTGGTATTTCTCTATGTTGTATGTACGTAAAAAAATAATTATCCAACTGGTTACATTTTATAGGAATAGGTTTTACCCTTTTAACTGGCACAAAACCTGACACCTTTATTCAAGGCATCATGTTTGCAATAACCACAACACAAGCAGTCAAAATGCAAACAAAAAAGACAACTCTGTTAATAATATGCACTGTCCTTGAATTTGATTGGTCCACACCCGAGACGGCTTTTCTTAGAGCCTAGTCTCCATTGGTGTTGGACCAGAAGACGCCAAAAGGCGTACAACTCAAAAACAGCGCACTATCAGAGTATTGAGGGCTCGGGGTGAGCATTTACAGTTAAAAGGGTAAAACCTATTCCTATATCTTGTTACTGGCAAAGGAGGTCTCATAATGTAAATGGTTACATTTTAATTAATAAATAAACACATTTACAATTTGTCAAATGATTCAAGTCACCAAATATTGTTTTTGGGTTCGAAAGAAAGGAAAGTTCATCAGTGTTGCTCTTTTCGGTTGTGGAGCTGCTGCAGCCAGAGCTGCAGCGCGTACACGGTGCCCGTGCTGACCCGTTCCACATCGGGGCCTGACGGGGGGACCTGGGCCAGCAGGCACGATGTGGGCAAGGCCTCCAGCTCTTGCCTGCTCCCCTTCATCACCGTCGCACTGAGGGAGGTCACGAGTATAATTAGGAAGAGCAACTCCTTTTGAGTGATCCTGCATTCCCCCCACCACCACCAGTGAAGGCAACCTGTCGGTCCAGGGCAGACACATGCAGCTGCAGCTCAAGATGCAGCACAGAAGCAGTGCATAGCGTGTCGAGGCAGTCTTGTCATTCACAGGCTGAGGTAAAAAGGAAGAGCTTGAGCCTAGACTTGAATGGACCAGGGAGTCGATAGCATGGATGGCAGGGGGAAGGGAGTTCCTTGTCAAGTAGCCCTGTGAACTCAGCCTCTTGGTTCTCTAGCCCCTCCATGGCTGGAATGGGAAAAAAGGGCTTAATGTTTGGTAATAATTATAGGTCATATACACTGCTGGATGAAGGCACAATGGTGGATATTATTGGTCAGTGATTATTTGATCCATACTTCATGCTAATCAGTGAGTGATATCTGCACTGATTCAGATGTCACGAACCATTGATGCTAGCCTCGGCCATGAATCAAACTGATGACCAGGGTCCCAGGTCACCGGATGGCTTATGCAAACTCTGTAAATTACGTAGACCACGATTTCTCGCATTTTCGATTCCCCACGGAATTTACACACGGGGAATGCGTACATTTTCGTGACAAAGTACGAGCGATACTGAGCGGCCGAATGCGCTCGTTATAGTGTAGTTTCTGAGCAGTCGACGACTAACTTACTTGAGCTGCGCAGCAGGCTAATAACATACCCTCAGCTATTTGCCCCGCCACCTCACCGCGTGCGCATACATCGTATCTCGCCAAGCTTTATCGTTACATTACTTACGGGGAAATTATTTTCACTTAAAACGCGCCACTTTTCAGGAACCCATCGTGTTAAACGAGAACTTACTGCGCTCAGGCTTCCAGGTTTTGTGCACAGTGTGCTAACCACTGCAGCACCACTTCTCCACCCCATATTCTTGGTTAGGCTTAAGTTAAACTACACAGCGGAAGCCAATGACCACGCTTACCATTTCCACGTTGACCCCCATGACGTCACATTTCTGTCTTAGAAGCGACCTGGCTAAAAGTGTGCAGGTGAGCCGCATGGTCTTGTTAAATAGCTTGGTTGTTTCCAGGTTGGCCTAGTACAGCTATTGTGGGAATCTGAGCCGAGCCCACTTGACTGGTTCATAAACCAGGAAAGCTCAATTCCCAGTGGTCTTAGGAACGTGGCATGAGGGAATATTGTTGTACCATGTACGCACGGTCAGCAAATATAGATAGCTACGGATGTGATGACATCAATTGAAATCGATTCTCATGCTCGCAATATATATTCATCCAAACGAGTATGCAAGAGCTGATTCATACATTTTCGAATTGACTTATCCCTGCAACTATAGACTTTACATGCACCACAAGGACAGATAGAATAACATCATGACAGCTATTCATGACAATTGAATCATACAAATATGCATGTTTTCAACAACTGCATACATTTTTGAGCGCTTTTATTACAGCATCTGCTTTTGTGCACGTGAAAAAATGGAAAAGAGGTTTTCATAAAGTGCAATTTTCTCTGGCCACTCAAAATAATATCCTGCAGTTTCCTGTTAAACAGCACACCTTGTTGGCGAGTGTTGCGGTGAACTTGTTGTGCAGTCTACCTGAATGTGGCAGGAATATCCTTGGGTGGTTGGCTTATTGGTGGGTGGGACTTGGCATTTTCCGCAGATGACACAATGGCTCTGGCCATGTCCGGGTCGATCCAAGCACAAGCGCTCACCTCGTCCACGCACAGGGCGACGTGTTCCTGCAACAAGCGCACGCGCCCGAGGCAGGCAGACTTACACCGCCGAAGCGAAACGCAATCTTCCGTCTATCGGCCTGCGGGTCTTTCATAAGAAACGTTCCCATTTGCATTGATGCATTAAGCAAAGTTGGGACCAGCTCTGACTTCAGTAGGAGCCCGTTGAAGCAGCAAAGACAAATGTGGACAGGCAAATGTGCGGATATAATGTGTGCATGTGCAGAGACTTTAAAAACTGCAATACTTATATTTGTAATCAGACTACAGTGTTCTGAAACCTGCCATTCAAATCCCAAAGCATGTGTCCAACCTAATTATGAGTTGCAGGTTATTATATATAAAGTATATAAATCCTCACTTTCAAAGACTCTAATGAATGTAAAATATGTATGTTGTACAAGTATGCATATTTATGTGTCATTACATGTTTGTATACGTGTCATTGCGCGTTTGCTAAATCTTGGACACCCTTACAAACGAGATGTTCCATCCCAAGGGATTTTCCAGGCGAAATACTTTAACATACCTATTTTTACATAAGGTGTTGGATGAATGGTTGTGAAGGTTGCTTGACTCGGATACCTGTAATTGCTGGTGCAGAAGGGATGTTTGCACCAAGGCATAAACCACAATATGATGCCTTCTGGGAAGACCTCGGATGAGATTTCCCGGATAGACCGACTGCAGCAGGAGAAAAGATGGCCAGTTTCACACCTTCAAGTTAAACTTGGTAACATGGGGCTCTTAAATATTGACTTAAAGCTTTCGTGACTGCAGGAATTCATATTATTGGGTCTTTCGGTAAAGTCACGTAGATAGGTTCAAAGAAAATAAAAAAAACTACGACGTTTCGATCGCAACACAAGCGGTCCTGAAGACGACCGCTTGTGTTGCGATCGAAACGTCGGAGTTTTTTTTGTTATTTTATTTCAACCTATCTACGTGACTTTACCGAAAGACCCAAGAATATGGGGCTCTTACTTGCTGTAATGCTTCTAGATGCCCCTTAGGTGGGGATAGAGTCTCAGGTTGATTTCATGAGCAGTATAAATGTCTGACATTTAGCCATTCACTATACCCTGATTTATGATGATTTTGTCACCATTCAGGAAACATGATTAAATTCAAGAATACGTGTTTTTTTGGTGTTCCATCTGTGCTGTCATGCTTGTACTGTCTGTCACAACCCTAGGATGCAGTCTTGAAATAGTCTGCACTCTTCCATTAGTCAGACCTGGAAGACCCATGCAAGCGGTAATGTATATTTCTCACAAAAGATGGCTTATTATTCCCTTTATGATGTTAAATGGCATGTATGAGTTCATGCAAGAGCCTCCAAGTTGTATACTAAACATCATGCTGAGTATCTTGAACCCAGGACTTCATCCTAGGGTCAAGTGTCTTTCATGTGTCACGTTTTGTCTTGTTCACTCCGGCCATTGACAAAAAGGAAGACTCGCATGAATCGAATATATTATTCAATGCATGTATCGTGTACAAAATACATGAGAATCAATATTAATTGATGAATTATTACACGTTTACATTCCAACCATGTATTAAAGAATTCATATTTTATTTATTTTGTTTATACTACTCCTGACTGCTCTTCCCCTGCACTCTATAATCTGTACTGTGTGGTGTGTTTGTTTCAATGGTACCGTCACACCTGTACCGTCTTGTTTGTATTGTGTAATTTGTTGTGATATAATTTACATCATCTTGCTCACTTGTATTGCAGCACGATTTTAATGTCTTTGGAGTTTGTTTTTCCTAATTCTACCGACACAAGATAAAATATGTATTGTAGGCAGACCAGTGGCACAGTGGTTGATGCACTGTACTATGATCCAATTGACCTAGGTTCAATTCCTGGCCAAAGCTCACATCAGCTGAAAGTATCCCAGGTCACTCTTGCAAATAAGTCTGTCCTGGTCCCATGAGTTTCTCACCTGGGGAAATAATATAAACTTTATATCTGAACCTGGACCGACCCTCCTCCTTCACCAACCGACACTGACCAGCAATGGTGAAGTGTGACCAAACAATCCCCATGACTGATACAGCATGGGGAGGCCTTCATCCAGTGGTGGATTGACAGAGGGCCCAACAACATCGTTGTGGAGCATCGACACCGGACTCATGAATTGTTACATGACTGGAGAGAAGCACTGCTTACCTCCCACAGGCCCATGGTGGTGATGGTGCATTCGGATGGTGACATCTGCAGACCAGTCTCCTCTCTCAGCTCCCGCAGCCCAGCTTCCAAAAGCTGAGAAAAAAATATATCGGGCGGCATTCGTTAAGTTTACAAAGATCAATGTTCGTCTTTTGCTAAACCCTTCCTTAAAGTACTACTTAGTACAAAACACGTTTACATTTAAAGGTGTTGGGTCTTAAGAAAGAAGCACCCTTGATTTGGCAATACACTTTAAGACACTGACTTTCTCAATTGTCAGCAGATAATTCCCTTAGGAACACGTCTGCAACATGTTTTTCAGATGTGTGGAAGGCAGCCGTACGAATATGTTAGTTTAATGGGTTCATTAGACTTGCATTCCTGTGACTGCAGGTCAAGGTTATTTTATTGCAGTGGCCTAAGTCCAACTATTGCCTGGGGCTTACCATTCAACACACACCATTAACTGCAAGAGATTGCACTAACTGTAACCTAACTTTACAGCATAGCACTGCACTGAAACTAGACGCACGATATTCAGATAATACAATGGAAAATATATCGATATGAAAATAATCTAAAACATTTTCCAACAGAGATGTATAGATTGTATGCAATACATCACAGAAATTCTGTAATAAATTCCAAATGAATCAATCACTTGGGACCACAAATAGATAACATGTGTGCAATAAAGGCTTCCGAGTTCGGTACATGAAGGCAGAAATAGGAGGAAATTTCAACCTGTTCTCCTGGATCCACGTGACCCCCTGTAGGTACACAAACATTGGGTCGTGAATACAATGGGCAGTTGACTTAAATAATACAACAGAAAGCAAAAGGCCTTCATCTTAAACTATATCTGTGGTGAATGCAACATCTTACACAACGCATTTATATTGTACATGCTGATGTGTTACAGTAAAAGAGTCCTAATATATAAACGATACAAGGAAAATGCATTAGGAATATCCAAAAGGCAGTGAGACAAAGGGACCAGCCTCGAAAATATGTGATGTCTACAAAAAGAGTTAAGTGCCTGTTAAAGAACACACAACTGGGTCAGATTGTACTAAAAGTTTATTTATATTAAATGGCATCCGATCTCTATGTTTCAATTCCCTGGCATGCTTATCATCACAGAGTTGGTCATAATCATGTAAATTACAATGCTCATGAAGCATTCCAGATTTTAATTCCAAGTATGTAATAATAATGAACCTGATTGGGGTTCAATAACCAATATTGACTACAATGTATTCCACGTTAAACCGAAGCAGATGATGGGAGGAAATTCCAACGTTTAGCAGTCAGTGGATAGAAGCAGACACAGAAGTGTTCTCATCTGCAGTGTGGTGGCTGAACACAATACGGACGAGAGAAAAGTCAATTATGGCAACATGGTGGACGAATTAAGGCATGAAGTTCATAGGAACAGTAACTATCGTAGTAGCAATAGAAGAGTGATACAGAAGCGACCAACCGTCGGCGGTTAGCGACTGTAATGAAAGAGTTCTGGGGTCATTAATCAACCTGACTGGGTGTGCCACCTCCCCAGCGGTATGACAACGGTATTCCAACTTTGGGCGCTTTTGTTTTTTTTTAAACCGCACCAAAATCCACGAACATTACCAAGCTGCCGCTGCCCCCCAACCCCACTGCCCGCCCCCCCCCCCCCCCCCGCTCGCTCATTAAGGACGCACAGAGCAGGTGCTCGTCATCCGTCTGTCAGTTCCCCAACATACCGGGGGGCACCCAGACGTTGGGGAAGATGGAAAGCTGCGCCGCCCTGCGCGTCAACAGCACGCACGCGTCCACAGACTGCAGCACGACGGCCACGCCGACGTCAATCCCCCGCGCCAGCGTCTCACGGGGAAGGCCGCGCGCGTCATCCGGGCTCAGGTGCTGGATGGGGCAGTCTGCAGCTCGCTACCGTGCACGACAAGCAATCAGGGATACGCACGGGGGGGGAGTGGTTGCTCCATTGAACAGAAGGCAATGCACAAAATTATCAAAATCCATTACTTTGCTATACTATCGCTAATCTATGCGAATCACCTTAATCGACCCACACTGACCAGCATGGTAAAGTCGAGTTAAATAACCCCCACGACCTGCACACCATGTGCAGGCCCTCATCCAGTACATTAATAAAAGCGCTCCATGTGTACACTCAACACAGATAGCTTTTTATTATTCAACACAGAAGAGTTACTTTACACGTGGTATATGGAGTTATGTAGCGACGATGCATTGATTCATCATTCAAAATCGACTGCTGGAGTACTTAAAAATGAGTTGGACGATGCGGTGAGTGCGGTAAAAAATGTTTACTCTCCATGCCTTGAGTGGGACCAACTCTGCTCCGGGTAGATCCACGCAGTCCGAAATAAGAAAGCGATTTTCCTGCAGCTTGCAGCTCACAGTTAGTTGCTGTGCTCCATCACTGCTGAAGTAATCTGTCACGCTCTGTGCGGGCAGCAGAAGAGCGAAATAGTGCAGCTGTGCTTACCAACGAATCACTCCAAATGTGCCCAATATCGACAGATCTCTACGCTAAGATGGATGGGAACCACACATACATGGTGCTATATATGTGTGTTTAAGCTAAAAGGTGTCCAGGAAAAATTACATGGGGAGGTGTGGTATATTATCTTACTATAAGCCAAGAATGTGTTGTCCCGTGCGTGACGTCACTCCACATGAGGCCCACCCCCCCACGTGACGTCACTTCATACATGGGGCAACCCCCCCCCCCTCATTAATAATCATGAGCTGAACAATTTTCCTATTGCAAATTTCAGATTTACTGCAATATACACCCGTCCTTGGACGGGCAAAAAAGGCTAGTAATTAAATAAACGAGGATGACGATAAGGTGGTAGTACAGCAAGGATTTTTTAATCTGATCTGGGAAGACTGCCTGAGGATACCAGGTATAATGTAATTGGACAGTAAGGTGGTTAGGAGATGGAGGTACATATAGCAATGTATTATTGAATCTTATCTATGGCGCAGCTCTGAGTGTTACCCCCTATTAAGTGTTGTGGGTTTACTCAAAGTACTTAGCTCTCCTCCCACATGTCAAACACTCGTTCATGGAATTGGCCAAACATTTCAGACATCCTCAAAAAGTCTTAATACTCAGTAGTATGGCTTTCCTAGGTCGCACTCATTACACACAAAGTGCTTGCTACAGATGAACCACATTACCTTGCCGATCTCGTCAAGGGGCATAAACCATCATGCAATCTCCAGTAATCCCTCGAAAAGAAACGGTCACTGCATCGCGTGCTTTCAAATGCGCTTCTGTGGCCATCTGGAACGCTCTTCCTTCTAGAAAGTCACTGGAGCTATGTACTTTTAAATCTAGATTGAAAACTATTTTCTCTCGAACTTCTTTTTGTGTTTAATAGGTTGTCCTTCCCCCGCACTTCCGGTTAGCATGGTTGGCTGTGTACAGTGCAGAAGAAGTTCAACATACATACATACATAGTTAAATAAACGACATTAATATTATCCAGATTGCTGCTATCAGGTAAACTATCATACCTGGCTTTATTCGGTACTGCATGTACACTGATCAACAAGTATTGTGGTAGATGAGCAGGAAATGTTGCGACCGCAAATGCGTTGCCAACACTGCTGTGATATTTTTTCCACTTTCTATTTGTCATGCAGAACATTGCGAAGAAATTTACGTTGGGAAAAAACTATTTTCTCATGCATACATTGTACGTGTCATTTGAGCTACCTTCAGTCTTATATTTTAAACAATAATAGTTAAGTGTATTTTATTTACACAAGATTTTCACAAACACAGTATGATGAGGTATACTGTCCAATAATATTTTGTATTTACTGTGTGGACAAACAATAACATGAAGTTATTTTGTATTACAAAACTTTTAATGTTATACACCCGTTAAAAGCAATTCGGATTGGTTCTTCACTAACAGTGAAAGCTATGTCCATATCCAATCATGTTTCAAACCTACATGTTACAGATGAACAAAAAATATAGAACGTCTTTGACCTCTTTCAAGGACGGTGCGCCAATGAGAAACAGCATGCAACACAAACGTGGTCCAAAATTCCGTAAACGTGGCAGTGGTGAAAACAGCTCCAAGTGAGTACAGTAACAGGTGGCGATGCTGTCGATTTCCCTGCTATGGGCACCACTAGACAACGTTCAATTCTATACTCATGACAGTCAAGTGCAGAAATTAAGAGTCTTTACATGATGCGCGAGGTATTGTTTGTGGGTGGACAGCGGTGGTTGCACTGGTTTGTGCCGTTTGCTTTGAAGCCAGTGGCTTGAGTTTGATTCCTGGCCATGGCTAACATCAGTGGCAAGTGAGATTTTAACCAGTTCTGGGGGTTCTGCATCAACAACCCGCACTGACCAGCATGATGAAATATGGTCAAACCCTTCATGACTGACACGGCATGGGGAGGTCTTCATCCAGTGGTGGATTGGCAATAAGTGTATCAATTATGATTTAGTTTTATCACCACCAGTGGACAGATTGCGGCCGTTGATGATGTTGACAGATGCTTGATCACTTAAAAACTTTCCTGTTATATTTAAAGTCCAACGATGAAAAAAATAATTGAGTGAGAAATGTTTGTTGATTTTTTTTTGCAGCATATATATTCGTTAAGCCCACGTTTTTGGGTATTTAATTCAGTGAGCGTCCGTGCGATTGTGGTAAGGTGACTGTGGGGTCCTGCGCTGACCTGGGTAAACTTGGCGCACACGGGCAAGGTGTTTTTCCTCAAGAGGTAAACAAGCACCCTCTCCATTTACAAGCAAAGCAGGAACTTGGCACGCCCCGCCACCTTCTGTTACACAACAACGCGGTCACAGAAAAATGCAAGCCGTTACAAACCGTGCTACAAGTCAGTGACGTTTCAAAGTATGCATTCATTTTAGTTACAGTACCAGTACTCTACAATTAACATCTGTGACCTCATATGCTTTAAAGAACTTGCTCTAATTTGAATAGTGAATGAAATACTCATAGTTACACACTTTAAAGGGAATGTGGCCCTCTTCTGGGTTGTATTTACCAGCTGTTCAATACAGTACTGATCATAACAAACCTGCTTTTAATGAAAGACTGCAATGAGATCGACTATTTTACAAACCAGAACAGTGATCAGGCCAATCCCTATCTTTATCTGATGAGTTCAGGTACAAAGGTGACTTGCGATAACCTTTGCAAATATTGCCCAACACTGAGAATCAAAAGTAATCTCCCACTTACGCTTGGCAGATACATTTTTAAAACTGCTGCGCAAAACCTAAAATTAGGACATACAATTTCAAAACTAGATGGGTGGGAATTATTTATTTAATCATGAGCTTACTGGGGTCACCCAAACCCTTCACGTCTTGATATATCCACTGCTCGATGAATGTCTGCCCAACTGCAGCCACCTATCAGGGTCTCGCAATGCAACAACTCATTTTGCTCCTGCACACAAAGCTGATATCCTTGCTACATCTCTGCTGTGAACATCCTCTCAGGCGTGTCCTCCCTGTTATTTCCATCGTTAGTGTCGACCTGATTGCACCCAATATCGTCAGATCGTGGAAGCTTAGTACTTAGATGGGAGACTGCCTAAGAATACCAAGTGTTGTATTACAATAACGGGAAGGTGCTTAGGAGATGGCAGTACAGCAAGTGGATTGTTGAATTTATTTGAGCATAAATGTGAGTGTTTACCCCCGAGTGTTTGATTTTCCTGAGGTCTGCAGTTTCCTCGAAAATGCTAATTTATGCAAATGTATGCGATTATGCTAATGTGGACAGTTATGATAATTTGGCTTTGCTTCATTGCCCAGGGTCGTATCATCAATCGGGATCATACAATGAATTGTTTGAAGTTATGCAGGTGTGCTGTAAGTATGCCAGATTAAGCTCGTCTTCATTGTCTAGGTTCGTATTATCAATCGGTATAATACAATTATTCTCGCTTTAACATTTACTGATTATGTATTAGTGTGTTATGTCAGGCTCCGCAGGATACAGTTCTTATAATTAAGATTATTAAGCATGAACTTAGGAAAGAATCACTCAAACACTTGTGTTAAGCAATTTTAATTTCTAAACAAAACCTTAACACTCCAATATGCGAATTCTTATGCTTGAAATTATCAACACAGTACTCCAGGAGATGTTCCCCTCATTGATCTATACATTTAACCCTCAATGATCACGTTTGTTAACTGGGTAACAGAACAATTGATTACTTCCTCAAAGTAACACGAGCATATACGGCGATAGGAACCAAAAGTCCTTAAAAATTCATGCAACGATATTCATACGAAGACAATAAAGAAACATGCCCTGAAGGCAAAGTATACGGTAATTAATTCATGAGCCGGAATACGTAATTGCGAAATGTCTTGGAACAAGGGTGTGTGGCAGTACGCCTGCTTCAGCAAATATTAATCAATTGGCTAGGGCTTCATACATTTAACCCTCAATGATCACGTTTGTTAATTAGGTAATAGTACAATCGATTACTTCCTCAGAGTACACGAGCATACACGGCGAGAGGAAAAGTCCTTAAAAATTCATGCAACAATATTCATACGAAAGGCAATAAAAGCAAATTATACCCCAAAGGCAAAAGTATACGTCAATAGATTCATCGGCAAGATTATATAATTAACAAAAGGTCTTGGAATAAGGGTGTGCGACGGGGTGCGTGCCCTCCTACGGGAGATTCTTATCTTTGGCTAAGCTTTAATTAATTTGTGTACAAGATTACATGATAAAGAAACAGGTTTAACACGATATTCTCTCTGAGCGTGTAGATTCGTGACGAAGGTTTCAAAAGTTTAGTTTGTATCGATTAATCTATTGGTAATTTATGCGATTAGAAGTAAAATTACATAAAACTAAGAAGAAAAAAAAGTACTTAAAAACGACGTATTCTTATAACTCGATGAGCCGCGATGCCTTCACGGCCAGCTGATGGTTCATGCACTTTATAATTAGTCTTCTTATTGTGGATGCTTGGATTGTCTCTTTGGTAAATTCTTGTGTGAGCAGATGCCGGGAGCGTCGTGGGTTTGTGAGTGTGGGGGAGGGTATACGAACGACGGCTGGTTCCCTCTCTCTTGTCTTGGTTCCCAGCTTGATGCTGGTCGGTGTGCGTGTGGGTCGAACCCACCGCGCGCTCGCTGGCGCTGACACTCTTGCTCATGGGTGGCTGGTCAGGCTCTTTCCCCTGCTGGATGAGCCGAGTCGGCACAACGCTTGTCCGCTGGCAGCTGGCACCCTTGCTTGGTGGCGCTAGTGGCGCTACTGCGCGCTCACTCTTGCTCCGTCTCTCTCGCGATGAACGATGCTTTCGTTCGTTGATGGCAGGCTTGGTCGACGTTTGGCACTTTCCGCCCTCTCTCGCGGATGATGCTGGAATTCTCGTCAGCTTAGTTCGAACTGCAGTGGCTCTTGTGAGTCGATGCCCAGAGCGGAATGATTTTCGAGCGATACTTCTTCTGATGGCGTTGAATTCGCATGGCGTAGCATGTCGCTACTCAGTGAGCCTCGCCATCCTGGATGAGTTGCAGTCTTCTTCTGCTGGCAAGCTTCTTCTGTGTTAGTAGTGATCTCCTGCATCGATGGCTGGCTGTTATCTTCGGTAGCTGGCCATCTTCGGTAGCTGATGGTCACCGTCTTCTGCCGCTGGTAGCTGTGATTCAATGCTGGCTTGTGTCTATCTTTTTATGCCAAAATGTATTTCTCTGCTCGCCTTCTCACAAAGGACCGGAACTTCCTTTGATCTCGCTCTGTGTTGTGGGGGGGGGGTTGTATGTGTGTCCGTGTGTGTGTCATTTATTAAGCCGTGTCTCATCTTTTCATCCGTAGAACACAGATGCCCCCCTGCAATGAACGCTCTCCGTAAGGGTCATTTCCCTCGCTCTGGGCATTACATTCTTTGCTATCCCGTGCTGCGGGAAGACAAAGACGGTTGGGAGGCTCTTTTCCTATGGGATACAGTTTATCTTGGTTGTGTAAGTTTGACCTATTTCGCCTTGTCTCTTCTGGATAACCCTCGGTTTAATCATGCACAATTATTATTTGGTTTATGTTTTCCAAGATTCCTGATTTAACATTATCATCACCACGTATTTCTTATGTCCTGAGTTTTAGAGATATAACTAAGTTTCGGTTAAGCTTCTTGACTGCTGGAATTTCATTTCTTTGGTTTTTGTAAAGTCACGTATATGGCAAGATGTAGTGTAATTTAAGGTGAATAACGTTAGTATCAATATTATGTATGAGAAGTAATCACCCGCTATGTAGATTGTAGTCTGTTTTTTATCGTAGTGAGTGTGTAGATTCCTATAATGTCAGCTTATTCTTGTTGCTGAGTTTTTCTTGGACTTTCTGTTAATTAAAATAACCAAAACTTGTCTGTCCGGTTTTCGCCGCCCTGGAAGCTGGCGAGGCTTTGAAGCCGTGTCGGGATTTTTTTTTAGTCTCTCACTCTGAATTCCCCCTTTCTCTTTTTTTTGGGTTTATTACTTTTTATTGCTATCTCCGGTGGCCTGTTGTGTGTGAGGGGAGGGGGGCTGTATCACCCCCTTTTGCCCCAAGTGACACCACGATTGAAAAAAATATATATTGGCAAAATCCTTATTAATATAAAAAAACAAAAATGGAAAAAGGCCTATATATACACAACATGGTGTACCATTGGGATTTTGGCATAGTCACTGGAGATTTTTTTTCGCTAACAAAATTTCCATCTTGCCACTACCGCTTTAATAAAAGTAAAACATGTTATACTCACGTTCTATATATTGCGTTGAATTTTCAAACCTATTTTAAGTTTTAATAAGTTTTCCCAGCTTATATTTAAAATGTACCTTGCTTCCTTGGCATTATGGTTGAAAAAAATTAATAAAGTTGTTTTTTTGCATGAGATGCTCACAAACATGCCACATACGTCTGTGAAACATGTCTTTCCAAAATATTTGTTCATGGAATGCAGCACAAATATTGAATATCACTGTATAGTGTAAACATTTTCAATAGGTATTTGTAAAAACTGTACAATTTTCCTTCCTTAAAAAACGATTCAGATTGGTCCTTCAAAAACAGTAAAAGCTACATCCATTTTTCGATTTAAAGCTTTCGTGACTGCAATGATTCATCTTCTTTGGTTCTTTCGGTAAAGTCACGTAGAATGAGAATAAAATAATAATAATAAAATATCAATTTATTATTTTATTCTCATTCTACGTGACTTTACCGAAAGAACCAAAGAAGAGCTACATCCATGACAAGTCATGTTATGTAACTAAATTTTATAGATCTAAAAATAACATCTTTGACATAACCTCTCTTGAAGAGGGTGCCTTAATCAGAAACAGCATGTAGCACAAGTGTTCCATACGTAAGAGTACGGATGATGGAAGGGCCCACAAGTGAGTACAGCAACAGTTGGCTACTTGCTGCATTCATGGGTGGCCAGGTTGTTGTTATTGCATGAGCACCACTGGGACCATCAATCTTTATTTCCAGCTCCGTGCTCATGATATGCATTTGGTAAATGTAAAATAATTAAATTATGCTACAGATTTTTTTTCAATTAAGAATAACTTTCAAATAATGTTAAAGGCCAATTCTAAGAAGATACATCATAAATGTTTGTTGATTTTTTTTTCGTGGCATGTATCGGTTAAGCCCAGGTGTTATGCAAGGTGACAGTGGGATCCTGCGCTGACCTGGGTAAACTTGGCGCACACGGGCGAGGTGTTTTTCCTCAAGAGGTAAACAAGCACCCTCTCCATTTACAAGCAAAGCAGGGACTTGGCACGCCCCGCCACCTTGTTACACAACAACGCGGTCACAGACAAAATGCAAGCCGTTACAAGCGTGCTCCCAAAGTTAAAATTGGATTGGTGCAATAAAGGTATAAACAAAAAAGATGATATTAACGACAGATTTTTGTTGTTGTTGATAAGTCATTGTAACAACCCATGGACATGAACTATAGGATACTATTGAAGAATGTAATAGGTTGAGATTAAGATAAATTAGTAAAACAAAGGTCGTGTACAAAAATGTTTGGAGCAATGGGATCTGCTTGTGCAGGAGACGTATTGTGGCATTGCAAGACCATGATGGATGGCGTCGCCGTAGACAGGCATTTCATCCAGCAAAGCATAGAACATTGCTGACGATTATGAACAATTTAACAACATATAGGAAATTTTATCTGGTTCTTGCTTTCATTTCTAGATGTGAAACACACACGCTCCAAATCAAAGAGGGCACAGAGACCTTCAGTGTTCCATAGGGTGCACTGTACCATCTCGATATTACAACATATACTACAGAATCAGAATATTAAGTAAAATAACTGAGCAAAACGTATTGGATTAAGTTGAGTGACTGACTTTAACGGCCACCACTTTCATCAGATACCGAAAAGGATAGGCCATGCACAACTGGGCTACTGAACACGAACGCATACCCTGCTTTAAAGTACTTTATAAGTAAATGTACGCGAGATTGAGAATATGTTAAAACAAAAACCCGATTTGTGCACTTCTATTGGAATGCTGTCACACCATGCAAAAATACTGCACAAGGTGCGGGTGGTTAATCAACGAGAGCAGATATGTGAAGTCAGATATGGGAGAGTTTACTGAAATGTATTTTCAACTCAAAAGGAGGGAATTATCCATTTCTGAACAGCTGCTTCAGAGTTGTTTCCCAAGCCAACGCAGTGACCACTCAACCCTACATTTGTATTTGATGACATCAGGTGCAAAGGTAACAGCCGTTGCAAATATTGCATCACACAGGAAATAGTCACGTCCCACACGCTTGACAAATATTTAACAATGCCACGAGCAAGACGTTTTATGAGGGGCATACAATTCAAAACATGATGAGTGCAAGTTAATTCATTAACAAGCTCTCTCGGGCCAATTAAATCTACGCGATTGTAACTTAACATCTTGACAAATTTCCCTTTCCTTCCAACTTTTTGGCAAAATTACCTCAGCATCTCCATCACCAACGATGGGCCAAATTCACCAAACCAATATATTCCGGCCAATTCAACAAGGTGTGAAACTGTCCTCATATCCATTGGAGTCCCGACTGTGCTTCCAATCCGTCTCCTGGTCGTAGACGAATGCACATAAATGGGCTAAATAAGTATACACGTCTGCAGAATCTTGAGTGGATTATTCCAGCAATTAAGAGTAGCAATGCATGAGCAGCAACTTGCCACACTGCAAATAATGAGACCTGGATAAGGCAGTTTGTTTTTGAAATGTTGGCATTGATTGACCACGTTATTCCACCGCAGCATGAATGTAGGCCTTCGTCCAGTAGTAGATTGCCCATGGGTTGATGATATGTATACGGACCACGGAAAACATGTGGATCGATCATCAGCCACCTCCACAAACCCTCCCCCATCGCTCAAGGTCTCGCGATGCAATAATTCATCTCACTCCCGCACAACGAGGCGATGTCATCGCTCCATCTCCGCGGTGGACGCGCGTTGGAACGCATTCCCTCCTTTGGCTGCTACTCTATCATTAGCCTCAACCACAAAGACAAAGATCTCCCGTGCAGGCTTAACAGACTGTAGGGGCAAGTGCTGTCAACGTGCACCTATGAAGGCCGGCACGGTGCACGAGGGGGGTGGATGGCCAGCACCGCGTCCGGCCGCCTCTTGCCTCCCCAGCGCAGATGTTTACTACACACCGCTGCACCGGGTACTCATTTGAGGCTGAGTCGACCTAGAGGCAGTCCCGGCGCCGGTTCACATAATCGTCAAGCACATGCCACCACGACACGAACGCCTCATTTCACCCGTGTCATAATTACAGCGAGGCAATTTCCTACCTCCCACCAGACAGACACGCGGGTCATTCCTGCCCTCTCTCCACACTTAGCGCATCTGGCGCGTTTATGAGCGCAACAAAATCTTCTTTTGGCAAAACAAAGACAAAGATCCCCAACCAGACCCCGTATAGCATTGACAGATTGTTGGGGCAAGTGCTGCCGACGAGCACCTTTGAAGGCCGGATCCGTGGCACACACGAGGGGGTGGGTGGGTGGCCACTGGAGTTATGAACGATTTGAGGGTGAAATATCTAATTGCGATTTTTTTCTGACAGATATTGCGATTTTATTTGCGATTAAATTGTTTTAAGTCAAGCTTCAGTTCAATATTGACGGTGTAACAGATTTAAACACATGTTGATGGAGCATTACCACGTGATACCGTCACAATATGAACTGCTCTGAATATTCTAATGCAAGGGATGAGAACTTAAAAGATATGAATTGCTTCCAACATGTATTTAAAATGTTTTAATCGAAATAGAACAATCAAACATAGAACAATTGTTAAGTTTACCGAAAGAACCAAACAGTATAAAAAGTAATAATAATAAAAAAATAAACAATTCCAATAAGTAATAGGACTTTTCAAATCGCAACCTTCGCGATTCCCTAATCGCATTGCCTCAAATTGCGATTTAGATTTGAAATCGATTAATCGTTCAGCCCGAGTGGCCATCACCACGCCCGGCCGCCTTTGTCTCCCCAGTGGCGGTGTTTTGTTTTGTTTCACGCACCGCACCAGGTACTCGTTTGAGGCCGAGTCGACCTAGGGGCTTGCCCAGGACCGGTTCGAATAATCGTCACTTGGTGTTGAATCGAACTCGGGTCGCCGGGATTCGTGGCCCGGTTCGCGCTTCAACAAGAGACGCAAAGGCCATGGGGGGTGTGGGTGGAGGTGAACGCGTTGACCACCGACTGTGCTTGGAATGGCACCAGACGGGCACACAATACTCACGGCCAATCGCCCTGCATCGGTTTGCCTCTCACTGCGAATGTCAGCGAAGAGCAAAGGACGCGGACGCGATCTGTTTCAGGGCGCAAACACACGCGAGCAGGGGCCCAGCTGACCCGGAACCGGATCCCGTGTCAAGCGAACGGGAGGGATCCGGATCCCGTGTTGAAAGTGAATAGAACGAGATCACGTGGAGGTGAATAGAACGAGATCACGTGGAGGTGAATAGAACGAGATCACGTGCAGGTGAATAGAACGAGATCACGTGGAGGTGAATAGAACGAGATCACGTGGAGGTGAATAGAACGAGATCACGTGGAGGTGAATAGAACGAGATCACGTGGAGGTGAATAGAACGAGATCACGTGGAGGTGAATAGAACGAGATCACGTGGAGGTGAATAGAACGAAATCACGTGGAGGTGAATAGATCGAGATCACGTGGAGGTGAATAGAACGAGATCACCTGCAGGTGAATAGAACGAGATCACGTGGAGGTGAATAGAACGAGATCACGTGGAGGTGAATAGAACGAGATCACGTGGAGGTGAATAGAACGAGATCACGTGGAGGTGAATGTGGAAGTGAATAGAACGAGATCACGTGGAGGTGAATAGAACGAGATCACGTGGAGGTGAATAGAACGAGATCACGTGGAGGTGAATGTGGAAGTGAATAGAACGAGATCACGTGGAGGTGAATAGAACGAGATCACGTGGAGGTGAAAAGAACGAGATTACGTGGAGGTGAATAGAACGAGATCACGTGCAGGTGAATAGAACGAGATCACGTGGAGGTGAATAGAACGAGATCACGTGGAGGTGAATAGAACGAGATCACGTGGAGGTGAATAGAACGAGATCACGTGGAGGTGAATAGAACGAGATCACGTGGAGGTGAATAGAACGAAATCACGTGGAGGTGAATAGATCGAGATCACGTGGAGGTGAATAGAACGAGATCACCTGCAGGTGAATAGAACGAGATCACGTGGAGGTGAATAGAACGAGATCACGTGGAGGTGAATAGAACGAGATCACGTGGAGGTGAATAGAACGAGATCACGTGGAGGTGAATGTGGAAGTGAATAGAACGAGATCACGTGGAGGTGAATAGAACGAGATCACGTGGAGGTGAATAGAACGAGATCACGTGGAGGTGAATGTGGAAGTGAATAGAACGAGATCACGGAGGTGAATAGAACGAGATCACGTGGAGGTGAATAGAACGAGATCACGTGGAGGTGAATAAAACGAGATCACGTGGAGGTGAATGTGGAGGTGAATAGAACGAGATCACGTGGAGGTGAATAGAACGAGATCACGTGGAGGTGAATAGAACGAGATCACGTGGAGGTGAATAGAACGAGATCACGTGGAGGTGAATAGAACGAGATCACGTGGAGAAGAATAGAACGAGATCACGTGGAGGTGAATGTGGAAGTGAATAGAACGAGATCACGTGGAGGTGAATAGAACGAGATCACGTGGAGGTAAATAGAACGAGATCACGTGGAGGTGAATAGAACGAGATCACGTGGAGGTGAATAGAGCGAGATCACGTGGAGGTGAATAGAACGAGATCACGTGGAGGTGAATAGAACGAGATCACGTGGAGGTGAATAGAACGAGATCACGTGGAGGTGAATAGAACGAGATCACGTGGAGGTGAATAGAACGAGATCAGGTGGAGGTGAATAGAACGAGATCACGTGGAGGTGAATAGAACGAGATCACGTGGAGGTAAATAGAACGAGATCACGTGGAGGTGAATAGAACGAGATCACGTGGAGGTGAATAGAACGAGATCACGTGGAGGTGAATAGAACGAGATCACGTGGAGGTGAATAGAACGAGATCACGTGGAGGTGAATAGAACGAGATCACGTGGAGAAGAATAGAACGAGATCACGTGGCGGTGAATGTGGAAGTGAATAGAACGAGATCACGTGGAGGTGAATAGAACGAGATCACGTGGAGGTAAATAGAACGAGATCACGTGGAGGTGAATAGAACGAGATCACGTGGAGGTGAATAGAACGAGATCACGTGGAGGTGAATAGAACGAGATCACGTGGAGGTGAAAAGAACGAGATCACGTGGAGATGAATAGAACGAGATCACGTGGAGGTGAATAGAACGAGATCACGTGGAGGTGAATAGAACGAGATCACGTGGAGGTGAATAGAACGAGATCACGTGGAGGTGAATAGAACGAGATCACGTGGAGGTAAATAGAACGAGATCACGTGGAGGTGAATAGAACGAGATCACGTGGAGGTGAATAGAATGAGATCACGTGGAGGTGAATAGAACGAGATCATGTGGAGGTGAATGTGCAAGTGAATAGAACGCGATAATGTAGAGGTGAATAGAACGACATTCTGTGGAGCTGAATGTGGAAGTGAATAGAACGAGATAATGTGGAGGTGAATAGAACGAGATCATGTGAAGGTGAATGTGGAAGTGAATAGAACAAAATTCTGTGGAGATGAATGTGCAAGTGAATAGAACAAGGTCAAGTGGAAGTGAATAGAACGAGATAATGTGTAGGTGAATAGAACGAGATCATGTGGAGGTGAATGTGGAAGTGAATAGAACAAAATTCTGTGGAGGTGAATGTGCAAGTGAATAGAACAAGGTCAAGTGAAAGTGAATAGAACGAGATAATGTGTAGGTGAATAGAACGAGATCATGTGGAGGTGAATGTGGAAGTGAATAGAACGACATTTTGTGGAATTGAATGTTAAAATTAATAGAACGAGATCATTGGGAAGTGAATGTGAAAATGAATAGAACGAGATACTGTATGAGTGAATGTGAACATTGCATGCCGTGTAAAATGAATAGAACATGATCCCGTGGAAGTGAATGTGAAAATGTATTGAACGAGATCTTGTGGAAGTGAATGTGTACATCGCATGCCGTGTTAAGTGAATAGAACAAGATCCCGCGAAAGTAAATGTGAAAATGGCATTCCGTGTTAAGTGAATAGAACAAGATCCTGTGGAAGTGAATGTGAAAATCGCATCCAGTGTTAAGTAACTATAACAAGATAATGTGAAAGTAAATGTGAAAATCGCATTCCGTGTTAAGTGAATAGAACAGGATCCTGTGGAAGTGAATGTGAAAATCGCATCCAACGTTAAGTAACTATAACAAGATAATGTGGAAGTGAATGTGAAATTCGCATCACGTGTTAAGTGAATAGAACAAGAGCCTGTGGAAGTGAATGTGAAAATCGTATCACGTGTTAAGTGAATAGAACAAGATCCTGTGGAAGTGAACGTGAAAATTGCATCCAGTGTTAAGTAACTATAACAAGATAATGTGGAAGTGAATGTGAAAATCGCATCCAATGTTAAGTAACTATAACAAGATAATGTGGAAGTGAATGTGAAAATCGCATCACGTGCTAAGTGAATAGAAGAAGATCCTCCGTGGCAGAGGTCTTTTTGGGTTAGATCGCGTAAATACAAGCCAGAGCTGTCATCTGGTGATGCTGGTTGTAATTACTGGCGTAATTTTGATTTAAAGCTTTCGTGACTGCAGTAATTCATATTCTTAGTTTTTTCGGTAAAGTCACGTTGAAGAGAAACAACAAAATAACAAAATATATAAAACAATAAAGAAGAATTCTCTCATCAAGACTCTGTATCATAGAGCCCAATGCCTATCCGACCAGGAACACATAAGCAGTGAACTCAAGCACGTACACCAAGCTCTTAGGGCTAATGGTTACTCCGACTATACAATCCGCAAAGCTATCACTCAAACCATGAAGAAGAACCCTCTTGAGGAGCCTTTCAGAACCATCACTTTACCCTACATTGCTGGGATCACAAAAAAGATCTCCAAAATCTTGAATAAACACAAGATCCAGGTCCGTTTCAACACATTACATACAATCCGTGATCTGGTTCTGTCTGTAAAAGATGTGATTCCGGACATACAATACCCTGGTGTCTACAAACTAAGTTGCCTCTGTGGTAGTAGTTACATTGGAGAAACCAAACGCCATGTCTCGGACCGCATTCGTGAACATAAAGCAGACCTTAAACACGGTAGGACCAACACCTCGGCCGTAGCAGATCATTGTTCTAATTCAGTAGGCTCACATGCCATTGACTTTTCCAAGACGGAGGTTCTTTGTAAGCCATCTGGCTTCCATGAGAGATTCGTTCATGAGGCTATCCACATATACAAGCACAGAGACAATTTCAACCGAGAAGATGGATTCTATCTTAGCAATCATTGGAAAGATTTGATAAATCATTTCAATTCTTGATTGATTGTTCACGCTAACAGTGGCTTTCAGACAGCATACATTATAAAAAATTTCGTCTCCCCCCTCCTCTTTTCAAAAAAATAAATGGACTAGTCCTGGGCAAACTGCCAATCGCTGCGCGTGACGCCAACGTTTTTTTATAAATAAATAAATGTGCCGTTTTTTTAAATAAATTTATGCAAACCGACACACCTGATGATGACCGTTTGAGTTATGGTCGAAACGTCGTGATAATTTTTTATTGTTTTACTGGCGTAATGTCGTACTCGAATTGTAAATGTTGTGGGTTTACACTCCAACACACCAATGTGCTGTGTACTAGTGTAGTGTCGTAGGTCTCTTCGTCCTTCTCGAGGCGCGTGGTGTGCGGGTGGCGTGCGGCACACACACACTCAGTCGGAGATGAGGTAGTCGCAGGGGGCACCATCCTTCTCTTTATTATCTCTCGCGTTCACGCCACCAACTCCGGCCCCCTCTCGCGCTCTCTCACGACCACGCTGCCGTACGACCCGTCCCAGACACGACCCGCGTTGCACCGACGGCGGCGACCGAGACAGCCATCTGCTGTTCGACTGCGCAATCATCGGGCGAAGGTGGCAGCGATGAAGGCGGTGACAACGACAGCGACGAAGAGACGAGTCCACTCCCAGCACCGGCAGCCCGGAGCTCTCGCTCTGCACTGCTTTTATTCCCCTCGGCGCGGCCTGGCTCCGCCCTAGCCGCGCCTCCCTTCTCGAACCCACCAGAGGGTTCCAGAGGCCTCCCCACGAGGTCTACCGTGACCCTTGCCCCTGTTCTTCCGCCCTGCCGGAACACACCGCGTATATGCTCAGCGGCGTGTGCGCTAAGTGTCCACCTGCAGTTGCAGCTGCTGTACAGCAGTCCGCGCTGTGTCACTACACTAGTAACGAATTGGCATGTTTTGTTTATGTGACGAACACATTTATGGTCGCGAAAGCCTACGTATTAAACAGAACAAGATCCTGTGAAAGTGAATATGAAAATCGGAGCCCATGTAGAGACACATAGGTCGACTCAGCCTCAAATTAATACCTGGTGCAGTGTGTAAAACATTGCTACTAGGTGCTCCTCGCGAACAGCACATGCCCCAAACAGCCTGTTAAGACTATACAGGGCATTGTTGACTTTGATGTAGAGAAAGCTTTCTGAAACCCTGCTCACTCGCGTGCTTATTTGGCTTCTGTGTTCATTATTTTGCTTCAAATTGTATAGTGTGATGATAGGCTCATGGGTGTATATACTTCAAGCGAATTTGAATAAATATTTTTGAATAGAAGAATGATCGAGGCACAATTCCATTCTCAACGAGGCATTACTTTTACTTGGAAACATTTGAACATGTCCGATGAGTTTCTTCCAGCAGTTGGTCCCACTTCTCTGATGATGTTCACAGGTTGCCCCTCCTTCTTCATGCATACTGCGAAGGGCAGATTATACCTCCCAGGAAACATTGCAACGTTGCGCCAACATTGGCCAATATTTCTACAGCTAAAAAAAAAACCCCGTATAGCTCAGGATTCAGACCGTTTCTTAAATGAAGAGGAGGAAGTTCCAGACGTCACACTGGATGAACCCAGAAAACACGGAACATTTAGGAATTTTATACAGATTGATATGGAATGCTGGGGCCAACGTTCCATGTTTTCTGGGTTTATCCAGTGTGACATCTGGAACATCATCCTCTTCATCTGAGAGCCGGTGTGATGATGCATAACATTCCTAAAATAATGTTAAATGTTTGCTCTCTATAATAGGTTATAGATCCATCGCTCTTCCTAAGGGGAGCCGCTACCATTTGTGAATAGCCAACCACCATCTTCATGATGCTGCCACTGCCTACTATGACGTCTTCTATCACGTGATGTGTTTTATGAGACATTTTTCCTCATTCGAGCCTTTCTACGCGTAAATAAAAGAACGCGTGTGTATTCGATATTCAGTGACGTAATTTGCCATAACTTTCGTTTACATAACAAACGTACGGTATGGGTAATCATCAGACTTGAGGGTAATTATGAGACTTGAGATTTTCGAATCTTGTAACTGTTTTTTACTTTACGTACAGGGTGGTCCAGATGTATCGTGACCCCCACTTAATTTTCTTAAAGACAATTTTTTTTTAAAGTGAGGTTTATTTAAAACAGAAATACATATGCAAAAGAGAAAACGAATATTCTTTGGTTCGATCGGTAAAGTCACGTACATATAAAATAATAAGAAAGTGAATAAAATAATACAAATAATGAAATAAATACATGTCTCCATTAGTGTTTTTATTATTTTAATTCACTTAATTTTGTATTATTATTTTATATCTAGGTGACTTTACCGAAAGAACCAAAGAATATGAATTCCTGCAGTCACGAAAGTTTTAAATCAAAGGGAAAACAGATATTGAGGGTCAATTAATTTGGGGGGGGGGGTGGGTGGTCACAGGACATCTGCCCCACCCTGTACAGCGTTTGAATAAGTTTGGTTTCGTTCTCTAATTGGCACTGAGTGTCCTAATTTTGTACCCCCCCCCGGTCCGTACTTTCTGTACTATCCCCGTGCCACTCGTCACAGCCACCGGAAGCCCGAAGTAAACAAATACACAAACAAACAAACGCCCAATCGCATACAACTTGCAGCGTTTCGACACCGATCCGATTCCGCCCAAGGAGGAAAAAAACCAACTCAAGACGATTCCTCCGCACGTGTAGTACGAAAGCGTAAAAAAGAATCGATTACACTCAACCTGCCGGCTGATATCGACGAATCGATACACGCCCATCGGCAGTCGAGTTAATAAATTAGAAGCGCGCGCTCGGTGGGCGAGAGATCGCGGCAACCCGCCGCCGTTCGCGTGGTCCGACGTTTCATCGCGAACTGATCGATCGGCGACGATTGTTCGCTTGCTCAGAGGGCAGCGAGCGCCGCCCGAAGATGACGGCTTGCGGCGGCCGCTAAGAGCCACCCGGACACAAGTCGCCGAGGCGATGTCTGAGTGCGTGCAGCTGGCTTGCGCTGTGTGCCGAATCGGCCTCTACTCGGTAAGGACTTTGTTGTTGCCTTTCACCACGGCCTTGTGGGTTTATTGTTTTTGTTTTCCTTTCCGCGTCGCTCGCATTCATTTCCGCGCGATAGGGGTCTCCGTATTATTTTTTTTCTGTTGTCATTTTTTTATTATCCTCGTGGGGCGGGGTGGGGGGTAGGGGTTTATTTTTTCATTTGTGCCGAGGCCTAAACAAAGCGCCGGTCTCTGATAGATGTCCAGGCCGGGTTCTCTGCTGCCCTGGCCGGCAGGGTGAGGTGACCCTATTCGCCCCCCTGTTCGCTTGGTTCTCTGTCCTCATTGGTATTTAGCCACATAAGTATTTGTTTGAACCCTAAACTTCTACTTAACATTTGTTGTAGTGTAACTAAACGTCTGCTGGTAATGTAGGTGTTTTGATTTAAATCTTTCGTGACTGCAGTAATTCATATTCTTAGCTCTTTCGGTAAAGTCACGTTGAAGGGAAACAATAAAATATTGTTTTATATATATTTTTTATGTTTTATACATATTTTATTGTTTCCCTTCAACGTGACTTTACCGAAAGAGCTAAGAATATAACGTAGGTGTTGTTTAATGGTCAGTTTATTCAAAATAAACTTGTCCTGTGGCATTTGAAAGGACCCTGCTTGTTGACTCTTGACAATGTATTTCCAAACACATTTTACAAATCTAAACGAATGCTGTAAGTTTGTTGTGATGTATGTAAACGTAAACTGGTATTGTTTTGTTACTTCTCATTTGACACGAAATTTAACTTGTCTGCTTCACCAACAAAGTGCCATATAGTTAGCTCCTTGAAATCCATACTTGTAAGGTCATTGTGATGTGTGTGTGTGAACGTCTGATGGTAATGTTTGTTGTTATTTGTCATTTGGTCCAAAAGGAACTTGTCTGACATCACAAGAAAGGACCTCTTCTCTTCTGCTCAGCCTTTCTCCCAAAAAGTTATATACCCACTTATTTCAACCCTTCACCCACACGTTATTTTGATTTAATCTCAAGGACGGCTGCTAATGTTTGTGTAGCCACATGTCAGTTGCTTCTTCAGCAACTGATCTGACGTAACAAGGAAGCGCACCTCGTTTGCTGTTTTCAACATTCCCCCTCTGTTTTTGTGCCAAAAAAACATCGCGACCCCTTTTACGGCAAACCCACACTCTCGGTTTATAAGCCACTTATGCATGTGCTGATAACGTTTGTGTTGTGCCGTTTGTGTATTGTGCCAAGACATTTGCTTCAAGAGCAACTGGTATAACATTGCAAGAACACCCCTCTAAAGTTCCTCTGTGTTGCTTACTAGAAAATCATCCCATATCAATTCAAGACCCACAAGTTAGAAATATTTACTTAAACGTCTGCTGATATGTTCTGGTAACTTAGTATACAGCACTCTAATACGATATTTATTCATGCAGGAACTCGTCCAATCCTAAACAACATCCACTCTATTTCTCTTATGCCCCAAATCACTTACCCACCAGCTATCTTTCGAAACTTTAAGTTTATTATAATGCATTTTAATCCATCATGTTTATGTTTTTGCTGTAATTTGTCACTAGTAAACAATTGACTCAAATATGTTGTTTTATGCAACACTGGATGGCCTGTGGAATGATTCACACCCACCATAGGAATGTGGAATTTCCACTCCTCAGGGCTGTAAAATAGGGAATGAGCGCCTCCCAGTGCGTGTTCGAGTGGGATACCACTCAGGGTTTTTTGTTGCAGAGAAACTTCCAACATCGCAAAGACCTTCCTAAAATTCTGAGTGGGCAAGATACCAAAACTCAGGCGTTCCATTAGTAACGTAATTATTTGAATAATCTCGGCAAGATCTCTAATTTTACAAAAATGTGATTGTGCAGACACACCCGTAGTGTGCGCTTTATAAACTTTCTGCACTTGTTTTGGTAGAGGCAAGGGTGGTCTCCATCCAGATTTTAAAAGTGATCTTGTGAGGCAGATATGGACCGTTTTATTTGCTGTAACCTCCGATAATGATCTTTCTTTCAAAGGTTAAACGTGTTTGTTCGTGTGTTTCATTAACGGAGTGTGCCGGCCGTAATCATCCAAGCCAATAATAGTACTATAATGCTGTAGTTAGTGATGCAATCGCAATACAATCTTGTACTTTGAAATACCTAAGCAGGATTGACCCTGGATAGTGTTCGGGTGGTCCATTGACATGCATAAAAACAAGTGTTTTGGGCTGCTGCAAGGACCACGTCAGCAGAGGGCAGTATAGCAAAATCCATTGTAATGTAATGTGCTCTCATGTCTGTCTCCCTGCCTTCAAGTGGCGCTGACCAACGTGAAAACAGTCAAATAACCCCTACGACCCACAGCGTGGGAAAGCCCTCTACCAGTAGTGGATTGACAAAATACCTGTATATGCACACTTCGTAATACTATTCTAGAATGTTTGCCAGCTATTGCACTCTGTTCTGTATGTATTTTGTAAGTGTGATTTTTTTTTAACGTTCTAAATTCATTAATCTGTTTTGACCAAAAAATGTAACCACGTGGTTTTTGAAAAGCAAATATTTATCAATCACAAGACAAAGTACAAGGTGCACGCTTACAACACATTCATTGTAGGCATTTAAGGAAGTATCCATTTAACATTTAGAATGTAAGACGTTAACGCAATGGAACACATATTTGGTAAACAGTGTACGAACATGTAGGACACTAAGTTGTAATTATTTACTCGGCGTGGGCTTCTATGGGCTTTCATAATTTTTTTTGGAATTTATCCAGTGGCCTAATAGCTCCACCTGGGGCATGTGCATTCAACTTGCTTAAAAAAAAGTTATTTTTTTTCGGGATAAAGATGTGATTGGTTTACACAATTTGTAGTTTGCGATTATGTTACCAAATTAAAATCTCTTAACTTTATTCTGTGCGGGCCATATATAATTTTTTTGGAATTCAGCAGCTTATGTGATAATCTACAAAGTGGCAGATGAGTTCCATTGCTTGGGCAGCTTAACGAACATAATTGGATACATCCTTGCTAAGTTAAAAGCTTCCTGTTGCCACGATTACGCAACGCCTGTGAAGCTGGTTCTCGAATTTCAACAACAACTAGCTATACAAACAAACTAAATGGAAAATAATTAATTGTTCGTCTTAACATAGTGTAACATCTCCTTTTCCATAAGTTCAAATTAACCGAAGCAAAAAGAGGTGGGGTGTATCACGAGACTTGAGCAAAAACTGCAGAGATCTTGGGTTTGAATCTGGGGAGGGCTCGTCATTTAACTAGGTTCTCAAGTATAGTCTTAACCTGTGAACCAATGACCACACAATACACCTGAATAAGTTGTCTTTGTCCTGTAATGTGGCAATATTCCAGCACTTATAATATAATTAAACAAATATTGCTTTATATTCTTGGTTCTTTCGGTAAAGTCACGTAGAAGGGAAACAATAAAATAATAAAAATATAAAACAATTAAATTCACACGACGTTTCGACTGCAACACAAGCAATCATTATTTTATTGTTTCCCTTCTACGTAACTTTACCGAAAGAACCAAGAATATGAATCCCTGCAGTCACGAAAGCTTTAAATAAAAATATTGCTTTGACGAACATTTCTCTTTAGCACGATGTGTTGGGAAAGTGCAGCGCCCCAATGTGGTTACAGTTGATTACATGAAGTACTCGCGTGAAGGAATTAAAGATTTATTTTTTCAACGCAGGATGATGCTGTTATCTGCAAGAGCCACCACATAGGCAATGTGTCTCATCACATGATGCCTATAGCACAATGTGAATACAACCGGTAAAAAAAACCAATAATTTAGGGAAAACTATATGCTTTTTAAAGTAAAGTCAATATATTACTGCGATGAATTCTCATTTGAGTTAATTATTTATGTGGGTTAATGTTGCAAAGTGCAACATATATTCATGCAGGCGTTTGCATGCTGAATTAATATGAGTAGTTGAGGTTAATTCATTTTACCTATGTGTCAGGTTGAGATGGTCAGTGATAACTATCTGTCTCCTGGGTTTTGACTAACATCTCTTGGAAATGTGTTTTTCATGTAAAAAAAAAACATGCGTGCAACATATTCTTTGAGTCTTTCGGCAGACTATTCCTGCAGTCACGAAAGCTTTAAGTCAAGATTTATGCGTGTAACATTTAAGAAATATTTAGGGTCATCCCTACAAGGTCACGAACGCATGTGCAGACAACGAAATGCGCATCTCCATGGGTAGGGAATATAATTTTTTCACGTGTTCTCCGAATTGTGTGCTCTGCTATTGGAGCCACTAGAGGGTGCTGCATATTCAGGTATTGTAGGATAATGCTTTGCGAAATTACACCAGCTTACCAGGGAGAATGCTGGTAAACTGGTATTGAGAACCCGAGCCTTGCATATGGCGATCTGCTCATGTATATTTTTCATCAGTGTTGAATTGCTTAATCGATGAAAACGTATTATAAAAAGTCTTATATTATATATTAGAATGGATTCCTTGGAAACCATTTCAAAATGGCTTCAGCGAGGTATTCGTCCTCCAAAACACTGGAAGCACCCCGCGGTGCTTGCCGACCATAACTCGGTAATGACAGGTGATGGTGGCGACGTCACTAATCCCTGCTCATATCGACCTCCGGTCTGGCGCTATTATTTTTATGCAAATGGGAAAAAAATGTACGATTTTAAAACGTTGATTAATCAAAGCATTAATCAGCTCTTGAAATTGATTAATGCAATGTCCGATTGTTGCAGCTGAACTTTGCATTGCGTGGTCGTGAACCACTCAAGTGTTAAAGACTGCTCTGTGTGTCTTCCTGCTGTGCTGCTCTGCCCCGGGATTCAGTGTTACAGGGTCCTGTGTTGTAAGGGCCCCCCACCGGCTCGCCCAGAGTTCGACGTGGTGTGCGTCGGCATGACTGGAGCTGGCAAAAGCACTCTGCTCGCGCAGCTGTGTGGAGAGAGCATCGATGACATCCTTCCCACCGCGGGTATGGTCACGCACAGCAGTGTGTGTCTGCAAGACTCTTTGGCAGCGTCTAGTGGGCAAAAGATCTAAACTTGGAAAGATGCGATGAAGTTTAAAGCGAGAGGCTGCAAAACAAACGAAAACGCTTTATTGTACAGCTACGCAAAGCTTTGTGTCCCAGGTGCGTGATCCGAGTTTGACGCTTCGTTAATGAGAAAGACTGTTAAGTTAATGTTAAGCTCTTTTATTTTTATGGAACTCTCGTGATTTCGCTCAAGTGATATAACGGAGTGCTTGACCATGATTTTAAAGCCTTTTTTCGTATTCATGAAGCTTCAAACCCATGTCCCATAGTCCGAGATGCACACTGTAAGTACTTATCTACAAGAAAAATAATTATTAGTTTTTTGGGGTTCTGTCTTACTGTAAGGTACAAAGGTAAACAAGGATGTCACCTTGCTGTGATAATTTGTGTGCACGTACAGAACAAGTCACATTTGTAAATGGCCTGAAGTTAAATAGGTGGAAGGAATTTAGAACATTTGTTTTAAGTCACAGTTCATGTCGTGTGAACTAAAAGCAGGGGCTTTGTCACTGCAGATATATCATGGCTTTGTGGATAAGATTTACTTTTTTTAAGGTACTGTTTCCATGGATAGGCACACTTGAAAAAAATAATGGTGAAGTGCAATTTGGAATTGTTAACTGTTGCACAAACTGCTCCTCACCACATGCTTGTCTAATGCAAAACACTTGCTGTAAAGATCGCTCTGCTTTTCTGCTACTTTGCCAAGCTTAGTTCTATGCCATAAATCTATTAACCCTTTACCTACCGCGGTGCCTGGGATGGCCCTACACAGCTGCCATCTGCCTCTCGAGTGCTTCAGCTGCTTGATCCTGGCATGCAAAAATATGGCAAACATGTCTGGGTTGAGGCACACACTCTACTGCTTGCATTCATTCAAATTTACGGCACTGGTATGCGTTTCAAATATATTTTTCAATATATTTTGGGAAGTCTTTTGAAAGGTTTTATTTCCATGAAGACATGTTTTTTTTTTAAGCGCCAGCATTGTTTTTTTCTAAAACTTTATTCCAGTAGTAGTGCTGGTGTCGTGTCAAGACACAAAGAAATTTCCATTCAAAAGTGTTGCAGTTAATGCACCACCTTGCATCAGAGAACAGCCCTTGAAGATGACATAGATCAACTTCCGAAGTCCCTTTAACGGGCCTCTTTATCCACACTTTGGCCACATGTTTCTTTGCCCTGAGTAATGTTTGTTGCATATTAATAAAACTAAAATGTGTATATTCCAAATAGCTGGAATAAGATTAAATTAATGACAAATCAAATGTTATGGCTGACACCATAACTTTACCACACTTGAGGGTGGTTGTCTGGATTTGAACACAGGATCTCCTAGGGTTCAGAAAACCACTGCTTTTAATTATGAATATGTTGTATATATTGTTAATGTGTGACAAATATGTATATACGCTAGTTCTCGGCAGAATGTTAACACAGGCGGAACAATTTGGACAGTTATTCTTTTGTTTTTGATTTTCATGTATAACGAATTAGCTGTTTTTATTAACTTATTTAGCTGTCTTGCTTTGGCTGATGTACGGATGGCCACGGAAAGGCACGCATTAAACAGTGATCTGGATGGGCCGCATTGTTCTCCTATGATCAGTGGTCAGCAGTAATGAGATCTTCAAGACAGCTGAAATTCCACACCAGGGTGAATTAAAAAACAGGAACACAAAATCTCAATGAGCTGTACATTCACCTGTCATTTTAACAGTATCCATTCAAACATTGTCAATTTTACTTGCGTAATCTACCAATGTTCAAATTTCCTTTCTCAAAAGTTGATTTTAGTAATAACCTATTCTTTGGTTTTTTTCGAATCAAGTCTTAGTAATAACCTGTTCTGGATTAGTTCCTGCCTGGTAAATGTATATTTAGTGTTATAAATTGTATGGATTATATTTGCATGCACATTTTCATAAACAATGCAGGAATGAACCCATTCTTGTTTTGTCTATTTTTTTTTACTTGAAGGCAATCTAACGTGATGTGTTCGTTTTTCAGGTTTTAGTATAAAGGCCATCCCACTGCAAAATGTTATCCTCAATGTGAAGGAACTTGGAGGTAATTCATGAAAAAAGTACTTTTTCTCTTGAAATGTAACTCGTTTATAAAGGCACTTATTTGCTATTACTTTTGTTAAAATGTTGCTTGACTTGCTAAGCTTTTGCAGTTGAGTAAGTGCATACGAACAGTCGAATGTTTGGGATCATTTTCCTATAGGATAAACTATCGCAATCAAACGAGGGCTCCATTCTTGTTATTGGCAACAAGCATGTACCCTTTTGAAATGTGCCAGTTACGATTGTTTTATATGTCAAATATCGCGTGGACAATATAGGTTTGCCATTTGTTACAGAACATAATGGGGAAGAAAAAAAATACTTCCCAGACCTTGCAGCAATCTTGAGGAATTCATTGAAAATACATTCACCACAGATAACAAGAATTGGCAATAATGGTTTGGACTGCACAATTGTAACTGTTAACAAATGATACTATTATTGCACTGGTATTATCGTTTTATATTCGTTTTTGGGTAGAGTATCATGAGGTCCATCTACATATTCACACTGATGTTAGGCATATCTAAATCTTGTCACAAACTTTGGTATTATTTAACTTGTTTTACTTTACAGGCCTTTATCAATCCACTGCTGGTTGAAGGCCTCTGAATACAGTGTTGGTCAGAGACGGTATTTGACCATACATCACCACGCTAGTCAGTGCGGGTCAGGAAACTCAGTATTTGTTGAGATATAACTTGTCACTGATGTCAGCCATTGCCACAAATCGAACTCTTGTGGTTGGGGTCATAATATAGTGTGCACCCACTGTACTACCACTCCATTTCCCATAAAGTAGTCAATGTTTTTTGTCGATATAAATTGGCTTGTGTTATGTGGGTGTTTTTTTTACTTGTGTTAATTTTGCTGAATAGTTTTTGTATTTACCGTTTAAAAAAGAAAAAACGTTTGTCATGTGGCACTATTTTATATACCTTGTTTATTTAAACATTTTAAAGACAGCACTTTCAGATGTCTGAACATGTTTATTGCATCGGAAGGAACTCCATGTCATAGGTTTAGTGGCTACAGATGTTTTACTTTGAAAAACTCTTTTTCCCTTTCCTTTTCTTCCTTACGTCAACTTTTTCTTCTCAATGACTTTTTACGCATTGAAGTATGTGTCCTCACGTGCACATTTTATAGATTGATTCTGCTTGTGAGACAGCGACATCCTCCACCCTCCGCCCCCCCACACTGCTTGCAGTCTTGGAAAAAGATGTTACTGTGCTCCGGCAGGTGGGGATGCGATCCGCAAATATTGGAGCCGCTACTACCAGGGTTCGCAAGGCCTCATCTTCGTACTGGACAGCGCGGCAATGGAGGATGACCTGGAGGTTGCACGCTCCGAGCTGCATGCCGCGCTGCACCATCCGCAGCTCTGCACCCTGCCCTTCCTCATCCTGGCAAGCCACCAGGACAAGCTGGGCGCTCGGTCGCAGCAGGAGGTAAATCCCGGCCACCGGCCACAGAGTCTGGTGGTGGGCCCTTGCTTTTTTCCACAAAAGAGTCTCCTTGCCGTGTCGCCGGATTATTATCCCACGGGAAAATTGTTAAGGTTCTGAATGCGGAGCGATTCGTAATGCCTGTCACATCTTTTTACCATTCGCTGCCAGGTGGAAATAGATAGTGTTGTGGGAATAAAACTTTAAATGCCCCTTTTCTAAAGGCAGGTATTAAATCTATCATTGGAGGTCATTGTTAGTTGTGATGTCGCTGAATAAAATTGCAACGGAGCGCCGTATATGCATTTCCCTAAGTTTTCCTGTGCATGTATATCGTGGATTTTCAGGTAACTTGTTGGAAGTTTAGGAACACGTCTATTTCTGACCCATGGTTTTTAACTTGCTTTATAACAGCACTGGCACTATGCTGTGGTGCGTGTTATGGTGTCACATCAAGGAGGAATTTGATCTCCCAGCAGGCAGATGAATGATGGGCTTGTGAAGCTTACGGTGTCAGCATGGGGGGGGGCCTTGGGCATACAAGGGTTTACGTAGTTTTTTTATTCTGTCCAGACAGGCTATTTCAACTCGTAACACTTCATGACAAATGATCAGTGGCAGCATTACTTGGCATCAACAAAGTATAGGGATCTCATTGTCCCTCAATAATTTTACGTGTTAGAGGGTTTTTTTAAGTCCTAAAATAAATGTCAGCTCTTTGGCCAAGGTATTTAAAGGTACAGCACAATACCATACTTTTGAATATGGTTATGTATGTATGTCTGCTGTACAGTTATTTTTTAAGGGGTGGGGTGGCTGTGAGAGTTTGTGGTGGAAAACGGTAAAAATCATGGATATGGCATGGATTGTTTTGCCCTGTAGTGCATAAAATTGATTTTCAGGTCTCCTATCAAGTGGGTTATGTGCAAACAGTATATCATTGTTGCTTTGATGTATGTTATGTAGCTGTGGGCCAAGATTGGAATAGAGTAAAGCAGTGATTCAGTATTTATTGTGATGTTTCAAAAACAAAGTTTCAAAATCTCACTACTTTTGCCAAGTTCTAATGTTGACAGTTTAACTCCATTGTCTGTCTCATGGTGGTTTGTGCTGTCTGAGCATGTGCAAACCCACTTCTTTGTGTGTGGGTTGTGTACATTAACCCCATACGCAAACCATAGTTACATTCCTGTCTGGTCACCGTTAATCAAAATATTACATTTGAATCGAGCCCAACGTACAATTGATTTGTTACTTTCCACGTGATGCTTTCACCTGTCCTGCATTTGGAGATGCTGTTGTTTCGTGTGTTTTCCCACCAAGCTTGATATTTTACAGTGATCAGGAAGTAACCTTGTCAAATGTAACCTTCATTATCAGACCCACTTTATGTTAGGAATGCTACAATTCATCAATCGGATTAAAATCTATTTTTAAGCTCATGATACATGCATCAAATAGTGCATCTAATTAATTTATATAAATTACATGCTAATATACTTTTCGACAATACTATATGAAACTGGAAATCAAAATAAGGCAGTGCAAACAAGACAATACTTAACTCCTCTCAATTATTGCATTAATGGCCACAATGGTTTCGTTCCATTTAATGAATCGCACCTCTGTCATGTTGCCACAGAAAGACAGTGGGGAATATCAGGCTTAGAATATGGCATACAGGTAGTAAAATAGATACTGTCCTTTCAGTTGACTGAGGCACAAGTATGAAAAGCATATACAAGCTTTTCCCACAGCCTGCCACAACTCTGTCTCTTCTTGGAGTCTGATAACAGCCAGACCTTGCGTGTCCATAGAGCCACATTTTAGAATTTACACTGGATGATGGCTCAAAGCTACATCCTTGAAATAACTTAAGATTAATTGTACTGTCCGGTGCTACAGCATTTATATTTTCATAGATTTACTCTGAATGTGTTTCTTATTCATGACACAAATCACGACTGATTTTAACTATCAACAAGACGCGCTAACACTGAGCAAGACTTTCAACTCTCGTGACCTTAGTTATGGTCGTGAAAGATAAGGCTAGGCGAAGAACGGTGTGCGTCTCTTGTCCACGGAACAGTTCTCGGCTCCAATATCACTTTTTTAATAGTGCACGATTATTTCAAGTGACTCGTCACACTCATTCTAGAAGTAACAAATAAGAAAGTGTCTATAGAGTTAAATTTGCAGTGAAAGAAGCCAGACGCAAAGACAGTCCTGCTAAGTACCATTTCCTCATTGGTACTAATTGATTTACCTTGGTTGCCAGCACATCATCGGCTCGGCCTTTGCCACATTTGTTTTGGATTCTAAGGAGTGCTTAGTAATTAGCAAACATGGCAGCTTCGGCTGAGTGTTATGTCTCGTGCCTGCGTGTTGTGGAAAATGGAGCTGAGAGCATAAAAGTACTTGAGGGGGGGCATGGGCGACTCTCAGTTTTGGCGCTATTTGGTCTCGTACCACACCAAATGTGTGATGTGTGATCTACCTAGCCCAGCAGGGGAGGAATGGGATTGGTGGCTACCATCGTGATCCAAGCAAGGGTAGGGTGGGTCACTCTAACCTCCCATGATCTCATTGGTCGCTGGACTCTCCAATGGCCAAACCAGGTCCCTCGCCCAATAGGAGCAATGCGATCGCCTTTTGAAGTGGATGAGACGTGTGTGTTTTGTTTGTTTTACGATGTGTTAAAGATGAACGCTAAAACGAGGTACAACTTCGGGTTTGATTCTTTATCTAAATTGTGTTCCCCCCTTGTAAACATATTTTTTTATTCGTCAAAGATGTTTTAAATATGAATGCACATTTGCAAGTATGATAGTGTTTCCTTGGTTGTGCATGCTTGTTAAAGCATTTCCTTCTCCCTCACCTGATTAGCATGGTTGGCTACATACGGTGCAAAAGAAGTTCAACATACATTCATACATATACGCCAATGTATGCACAAACGTTGTTTTTATGCGTGAGTGTTTTGACATGTGGTAGAGCAGATTTGATGGTTTCCTGGTTTCATACATACATGGGCATCTTTATTCATGCCCCCCCCCCCCACCATGTATTATGCTTTTATTTCCTTCACACGTGATTTTCTCGAGACAACTTGTGCATTTTTGTCAATCCACTCCTGGATGAGCGCTAACCCTATGCTGTACAGATTGTGGGCTGACCATGCCTTACAACATTGCTCAAGTTTAACCAGTTGAACACTTGAGACCACTATAGTCTCATTTGCAAGAGTGACTAATCACCAAAAGGGGCAAAAGCAAATAAAATAAAGTGATAAATTCCATATACGGTTAAGTCGGCTTGGCCAGATTCTTTTTAGATTGATCACAGGACAATTAAGTTACAGGAAAATTGAAACTCTGTACGTACAGTGAGGGAAAAAAGTATTTGATCCCCTGCTGATTTTGTATGTTTGCCCACTGACAAAGAAATGATCAGTCTATAATTTTAATGGTAGGTTTATTTGAACAGTGAGAGACAGAATAACAACAAGAAAATCCAGAAAAACGCACGTCAAAAATGATATAAATTGATTTGCATTTTAATGAGGGAAATAAGTATTTGACCCCCTCTCAATCAGAAAGATTTCTGGCTCCCAGATGTATTTTATATAGGTAACGAGCTGAGATTAGGAGCACACTCTTCAAGGGAGTGCTGCTAATCTCAGCTTGTTACCTGTATAAAAAACACCTGTCCACAGAAGCAATCAATCAATCAGATTCCAAACTCTCCACCTTGGCCAAGACCAAAGAGCTCTCCAAGGATGTCAGGGACAAGATTGTAGACCTACACAAGGCTGGAATGGGCTACAAGACCATTGCCAAGCAGCTTGGTGAGAAGGTGACAACAGTTGGTGCGATTATTCACAAATGGAAGAAACACAAAAGAACTGTCAATCTCCCTCGGCCTGGGGCTCCATGCAAGATCTCACCTCGTGGAGTTGCAATGTTCATGAGAACGTTGAGGAATCAGCCCAGAACTACACCGGAGGATCTTGTCAATGATCTCAAGGCAGCTGGGACCATAGTCACCAAGAAAACAATTGGTAACACACTACGCCATGAAGGACTGAAATCCTGCAGCGCCCGCAAGGTCCCCCTGCTCAAGAAAGCACATACATGCCCGTCTGAAGTTTGCCAATGAACATCTGAATGATTCATAGGACAATTGGGTGAAAGTGTTGTGGTCAGATGAGACCAAAATGGAGCTCTTTGGCATCAACTCAACTCGCCGTGTTTGGAGGAGGAATGCTGCCCATGACCCCAAGAACACCATCCCCACCGTCAAACTTGGAAGTGGAAACATTATGCTTTGGGGGCGTTTTTCTGCTAAGGGGACAGGACAACTTCACCGCATCAAAGGGACGATGGACGGGGCCATGTACCGTCAAATCTTGGGTGAGAACCTCCTCTCAGCCAGGGCATTGAAAATGGGTCGTGGATGGGTATTCCAGCATGACAATGACCTAAAACACACGGCCAAGGCAACAAAAGAGTGGCTCAGGAAGAAGCACATTAAGGTCCTGGAGTGGCCTAGCCAGTCTCCAGACCTTAAGCCCATAGAAAATCTGTGGAGGGAGCTGAAGGTTCGAGTTGCCAAACGTCAGCCTCGAAACCTTAATGACTTGGAAAAGATCTGCAAAGGGGAGTGGGACAAAATCCCTCCTGAGATGTGTGCAAACCTGGTGGCCAACTACAAGAAACGTCTGACCTCTGTGATTGCCAACAAGGGTTTTGCCACCAAGTACTAAGTCACGTTTTGCAGAGGGGTCAAATACTTATTTCCCTGATTAAAATGCAATCAATTTATAACATTTTTGACATGCGTTTTTCTGGATTTTGTTGTTGTTATTCTGTCTCTCACTGTTTAAATAAACCTACCATTAAAATTATAGACTGATCATTTCTTTGTCAGTGGGCAAAAGTACAAAATCAGCAGGGGATCAAATACTTTTTTTCCCTCGCTGTATGTTGAACTTCTTTCACACC